GGTAACATGGTAGCACCTTCAGTTCTTCAAAAATAATTAATTATTGAATAACCTAAAAACCATTAACGTAAACATTTTTTTCATAAATGTTGTCACAAACTTTAGAACGGCATAATTTAAATTTTTATTTTTATCATAAATGGATACCCCACAAGCTCAAAATTTACCACGAATCATAACAAGAGAGGAAATGATAAAAATGATGCAAGAACATGTTAAAAATAACAAACCACTAAAATTGAGAAAATGCGGTTATGCAGTAATGATGGAAAGAGAGATGTTGTCAAAGAGGAATAAAAATTAAATTTGGATAGAGTTTAAAAATTCATCTTTATTAAATTCAGCTCTTCCAATCAATTTATTTATTCTATTAAATTCTTTTATTTTTGCTTCACCCAGTTTAAGGATTGAACGGTAAGTTTCTAATTTTTCGATTATTTCCTTATCGTTTTCAGTTCCATTAGTTTTATTGTTTTCAACCCCACCGCATTGCGGCTTCTTTTTGTAATAGCATATTTTTGATTTAATTCTGTTTAGTTTCTTTTTATATTCATCGTCTGGACTCTGAATCTTAATTAAATCAGGACTCTTGGCTGCTTCGTTGTCACTCATTTCTTACGAAATAAAAAAAATTAAATATTATTTAAATATAATGGGGTAATAAAATAAATTGGAATTTCTATTAATTTATTGTCAACTTCAACTAATGCATTGCCGTTAATATATCTAACAAATTCAGCTATTGTGTCAAATCTTCGTCTTCTTTTTGTCATTGATTTATCAGTTTTTCCATAATCGAGATGAATCAAAACTTTATCCCCTTGTTTAAAATTCATGAGCCCTGAATTAATTTGTTCACGTTTAACATCATTCAACCTTTCCATTTGCTTTCTAATATATTCCCATTCTTTTGAAATATCATTTTTTATTTCCACTGGTTTCATGTTTATAGTTCTATGCCATGTATTATTATAATAATATACTAACTGTTGTATGATGGAGTCATGATTTCCATCCCAGTATATCTGACCGTTAACCCCTAACGCATCTCTAAGAGTTCTCATTACCGCATCAACTATTTTATTATGAAACGTATATGGAGAGGATGAAAAGAAAAAATTAATTTGTGGGAAATAATGAGTCATAGTTGCCTGAAATCCTTTATCACCATCACCCCTGATATTATCTACTCTTTCATGATCTAGTAAGTATTGAATAGCTCTTCTTGTTTCCTGTTCTGTTTTCCCTTTCACTGGAATGCAATATAAATATCTAGTGTTAATGTTAATGGCAAATAAATAAGTAATGTTTCCTTTTGAATATTCTAAATGATCGATTTCGTATGAATATGGATATGGTGCAAATGAAGGGCGACTAAATTTTTCCTTTAATGGTTGAATTTTTGGGTCAATTGGTTTATTTAATATCTTGAAACCCTTTTTAAAATCTTTTTGTTTCTTTAATGTTTGAAATGGATATAATAAAGTGAATGATGAAGGATTAACTGAAGGAGGAGGCGGTACTGTCGTTGGAGGTTTTGGTATTGCAAGTGGTTTAATTTTATCTGCTTTGATTTTGGATGATGAAGTTTTAGTTGTTGATTTTCCTTTCATTAATTCTGGATGTATTCTATTCATTTGTTTTAAATATGCTGTATATAAAGGTTTGATATACTTTCCCGCTTCGAGTTTATGTTGAAGGATGAATTCCAAAAGTTGATCTTCATTTAAAAGTCGGGCTGAATATGGTTTAACTAATGAATCATAAATTAAAGCTTGTGCTTCATTTATGGCCTGAAGGACCTGGGCGTTTTTCACCCTTTGTTTTTGTTCCTTTGGCTTTTGCGGCTCAGGATTATATAATTTATATAATTCATCAATATCTTCTTCTGTTAATACTTTATTTTTGAAATCTTTCAACTGTTTAAGTTGTGATTTAGTTTTTCCCTTTGTATATTCATTATTTTTAATTTTGTCTTTAATTTTAGAAATTATTCTATCATGATATTTCAAAATTTCATTTTTATAATATGGATAATAATATTCCATATCATCACCCGTTATATTGTTATCATATTTTTGGAGATATGCTTTTAAATCATAATAATCAAGAAAATTTTGATTAAATACTAAATCAGCAATTAAAATTTTTAAATCTACGTTATCCATTTATATAAAAATAAAATCAATGTTTTAAGGGTGCCCACCTCTTTGAATCATAGTATCAAAACCATTATTTACATATTGAATCCCATCATTAACGGTTCCTTCTTCTAAAACGGTATCAAATGGTGGCGGTTGTTGTTGCTGTTGATGCTGTGATGGGATTTAAAAAATTCGTTGTAGTTGATTATTTGGAATCTGAAAGTTAAAACCATTTGGTTCCTTTTGTCTCTTCTGTGGCATTTCATTAAAAATAAAAGTTTCAAAATTGTATTAAATAAATGGCATACAACATCCATTTTCACAACATACAGCCTTAGTGTGTGCTCCTGTTAATGCAGTCTTACCGATTGTTAAGCGAGTCATTGACCCGTTTTTAAGTTGTAAATTAATATTTTGACCATCAAATATCACTTTATCATTTATTATATCCAAATATTTTTTAGGTGTTAATTGCTTATTTTGTCTTAAACTAACACCTTTCATTTTTTGTGCAATCTTTTTAAAATCACTTCCATCAATTGAACCGTTGAATGATGTATAACATTTAGGACATAAAGCAACCATGTTATCACCTTGTTTCTCAATTGCTAAACCCAATAGCTTCTTCTCATGTGCTTTTTCTTCAGCTTTATTCTTTAATTTAGGTTTAAATTTCTCATCAAAACAAAAGAAATCAAAAGGTGCGAATTTGAAAATGTTTTTATCATAAAATTGTTTATCGGTAACAATTGCTTGAAATGCTTGAGTGTTAGGAAGATTTGGATCGCCAGCAATAGCCCAATAAGATGAATCAGTATCACCTTCAATGAAATGAAAACGATTAACATCCATGCATTTATACATAAAATCATAAATGAAAACCAAATACCAGTATTTTGCGTTATCTAAAGTAAAAAATGCCTCTTGTAAACATGTATCACATCTATAAAATCTATCTTTAAGCATCACTTGATATGTATCTTCACCTATTTCTCTTATGTTTTTAAACTTATTTGACATACATGCAACGCGTGCCTTCTGTGCATTCATTATTTTAGTCTTTGCGTAATTTTGTGTATTCATTGCATCGTAACCATATGATCATTAAGTGAAATTTTGCAAAATAAACTTTTTCCTTTATTTCCTTCTAATTCAGCCTTTTGTCTTTCGTTCATAAATTCGTTCGCAAATTCATTAAAACAAGTGTTTTTTCGTAATGTTAAAATTGATTGAATGTCATCAATGATAAAATGAAATCTGTCTATTAGATACAAAGATAATAAGAAGAAAATGGTTGATATTGGTTGTATGTTGATGCTAACTGAGTTAATTTCCTCTGTTTCTGGTCAACTGGTAGTTGTTTGATTTCATGTAATTATACATAAAACTGCCAATTGTTTTTTTCATCTGTGATAATATCTAAGTTTCTTATTATCGGTAAAAAGTTTATGTAATCATAATGTATTTTTCATCAATGTGACCCTTTACTTCAGCCACGAATAAAGTATTTTTCTTCTTAATTATTCCCAGTGCTTTTGCTTTCTTTGTTGCTGTATCACAAATGATAACACCATTCAATCTTCCCGGCATCATACATTTTATGGTCAGTATATTGAATGAAAATCATGAGGATTAGATGAAAATGATGAAGGATATAATGAATTAAAGTCAACACCAACGAAATGAGTCATGATGTTGGTGGTGTCCTCATTTGATACAGTTTTAGTTTCTGGATTATATGAAAGTTTATTAATGTGTGTGATTCCTTTAAGATTAACACGATGTTGAACATTTGATAAACCACCAGTAATTCCATTACGGAGAATGTGATAAGCTTCAACTGAATCTAAAGTCATTGGTAAATTATTTTTTAATGCATAATTTCTTAAATTGATTCTTAAACGTTGAACATCTTCATCTTTATTTGATTTCACGACATTGCAATAACAACACATTAACTGACAATTTTCTTTGGTATGTGGTTTTTCATTATCTATTCTATCCAATGTTGGTTTATTTGCATATGTAAACGCTTTCACACATTTTGCATTTAGATGAAAGGATTAAATCGTGATAGTATTGAAAATCATCCATTGAAACATTATTTTTAGTATCCCTTTCTGCTTTTCATCTTGTTTCTATATATGATCAATTTTATATTTCCAATACTTTTTCGTTAATTCAAAAACTTGATTCTATCTCTTCCTCGGGATATTTTTCATTAGGATTAAAGTCTTTATATGCTAAAGCGTAACGAAATCATTGAAGCATTTCGATGATAAAGAAAGATTATGAAGCATGTCAATTTTATAAACAAAATTTCTTCAATAATTTTATCAATTGGGTCAATCATAATTTCAACATCTTTATTACAATAATGAATAAAATATTCTAATCTATTCTTAAAGTTTTTAGCATCATTGAGATATATTTGATAATCACTATCTGATATAGTTTCTTGAGTTAATGCTGAATAAAAATGAATCTTTCGTGAATGGTTCCACTTTATATAATTCTTCTTCGTAATTCTCCCATGTGATGAATTGATAAGGGAAAAAGGATTTAACACGTGATTTATTGTTTCCGAAATCTTGAGTGAATTGGTCTAAATGTCCCACCCGCTATATAATTTCTGATGTCAATAAATCTCAATTCATATGGAACGTTTGTTTTCTTTACAATGATTTGCTTAAATTGTGAAGATGAACCCAGCATTGATTTTATTTTCCATTTTGCAGTGTTTAAATCAACGAAGAATTAAATTTAAATCAAACTTTCCCGAATTAAAACCTATGATATTCACTTTATTGAATTCCTCATCTAGAAGTTCTTTAAATGCTTCCTTCTGTTTTTCATTTAATGTATGAGACAAAGTCCCGCCGTTTGTCCGTTTTGTGGCTTCATTAATTCATTGTATTGACTCATATTTGATTCAACAACTAATGAACAGGTTGAAAATAAAAACTCAATCCAATCAGAAATAAAAGAATCACTCGAAGTTAAGCAAAAATTCCTCGTATATGTTTTATCATTTAATTTAACCGTTGATGATACCATGAATGGTTTTAAGTAAGCGTTCAAAGTTGCACACTCAGAAAGTTGTAATTCTTCTTTAGTCTCTAATGTTTCGAAGTCAAAAGTAATATAATATCTTGTCGGTTTATAATATTTCTGCAAATTGTGAGCTAATAACCACTGATATATCTTCTGTTTCGTAATATGTGGTGCATATGGTTGCTGTGTCTTTTGCAATTGAACGTCTTGAATTAATCTTCCATTATTTTCTTTACATTTCTCACAATGCTTTAAAAATCTTCTTTGGTTTTTCCTTTCTGGATCATCACGGATAGAATAAACTTCTTCTTTACAATATGGACAAACTCTATAGCCGGTGAGTGCTTCAACGTCTGTTATTCTGTCAGCGTGAAGTTTTCCACATGGACTCTGTGTTAATAAAATATTTACTGTTTCAAATTCTGGATCTATCATTATTGATTCCACTAATGGAAAGTCTACCTTGTTAATGTCTACGTCTTCTGGTTGAGGATCACAATAATAGAAATCAATATTAACATTTAACATTCTCGCTAATCTCTCACTTTCTGATGAAATGTCAAACCCTTCATATGCATCTATTGCTTCATTTAAATAGCTTCTACGAGTTTTAGGATTAACACCATCAGGAATGTTATAGAAGCGTTTAAATAACCTTCTACCTTCTGCTCTAATTTGATTATCATTCATTTTAGCTGTTCCGTTTTTGTTCATTTATGTAAGAATAAAAAATTAAAAAATAAATAAAAATAAAGTTTATTTTTTAAAGCCCATAAAATGAATTAAGAACACATAAATTTTTATCATCTGCGACGTGACGAATACATTTTAATTTACTCAAGAATGCGTACCCGGATACATTAAATCTAATTCCTGTCTTATTTAATTTCACAACTTTGAAAAGGAATGTATGAATAGCTATAAAATGATGAGAAGATGTTTTATGGGTTGCTTCCATTTTTTCTGAAATAAATGAATAAATATAATGCTTATACGTTTTCATATCTTTTATGTTCTTAATAACGAATGGTATAGACCTTTCAACTTCGTCTTCCTTCGGTGCTGTTCTTTCATATGAAACATTATTGGTATCTTCAATAATGAAACCACAATCACACAAAATTTTATAGGTTCCAATGGTTTCTTTTGATATTTTATCTAATAAGTCAAAAACTTTATCAACACCTGTGCATTTATTTAAATAATAATTTGTGTAAATATCATGATCTTCTTTCTTAATCGTATTAGTTGCATATGTCACGTTTTTTAGTGCTTTTTTGAATTTCTCAGAATCGAGAGGGGGTGAAAGTAAGATACAAGGGTATTTTTCATTATCAATAAATTGTAACTTATGTTTACGTATAAATTTAGTACCTTCTTCTGAAAGTGTTTCGTCTATTTCGCCATCTAATAAATTTTGTGTTGATTCTGAGACATAATTTTTATATCTTTCCTCATGAGATTTCTGAACTTCTGATTCTGAAGCTGGGATATTCATTAAACCATCTACTTCATTTTCATTATATTTTTCAACTTCTCTTAATTCCTTAATTTTTTCATCTATTTCATCTCTTATTTTTTCCAGTCTTTCAATTTCATCGTATTCATCATCTTTAATCCGTTCTTCATAATATTCAGGGAAAACATCAGGTTCTTTAGGTTTTTCTTCTTCAGATGTGGGATATAAGAAATTTATAACATCATCTTTATTCATTTTTCCATCATAATCAAACTCATTTAAAAACTCCGCGAATTTTTGACAATTTCTTAAATAATATTTATCAACCTCATAACCCGCCTCCTCTAATATATCCTTTATTTCCTCATTTGTGAATCCTAATGTTTTCACGTCGTTAGTCTTGACGCTCATTTCATACAAAATAAAAATAAATTTTCATAAATGTAAGACATTGAATTTTTAAAGTTTATTTTTTTATTTTTTATTTCATTATGGTAGTGAATCTTTTATTCATGAAAATAATTATTTTCAATTTCTTCTTCTCGTTTATGAGGTCTTTGATTATGACTCCATTGATTCCATTCAGGATTTAAACAATGTTTAATTAATCGCGGAATATCTGACATCATCTATATATAGCTTCTTTTATAAAAGATAAAAAAATAAATTATTTTAAAATTAATGTTAATTTTTTAATGTGTTTAGTATATAAATATATTTTAATGCATCGTCTATATATAGATGTAACAAAAAAAGTCACACAACCCTTCCTATCCTACTACTTACAATATCGAGCGATTTTGTATCATTTTTTTAACATATTAATTAAAAAATATATGATTCTTACGGTTTTATTCTTACGTTTTTGAATAAATCAAGATTTAAAAAATTTTCAAAATTGTAAGACATTTACACTCAGCCCATACATAATGAAATAAAAAATAAAAATATATTTATTTATAAACCATTAAAAAAATTAAAGTTATTTTTAAAATAATTTTTTTTTTATTCTTACATAAATGACCCAACAAGTAAAACCAGATAAAATAGATTATCGAATTTTAGAGGATGGTGTTCCTGTTTATATTCAAAGATTTAAAGGGAAGCAATATTATAGAATTGTTAATCCTGAATACATAAAACATTTATTTAAAAAGGAAGACTGTGAATTATTAAACGTTAATGAATATGAAACCAATAAATCAAAATTGAAATATAAATAGGCAAAATCGCAACCGAATTTTTAAATCTCGATCGCAAAGAAAAATTTCGATTTTTTATAAAATCGCGAACTTCTGAAAAATTGCGAACAGAAAAAAATCGCGATTGTTTTTGAAATCGCGTTTTATTAGAAGTACGCGATTTTATAAAAAATCGAAATTAGATTAAAATATAGCGTCTAAAACCAAATTGCGAACAAGTTATGTATTGATTAAGAAAAATATATTTAAGATGAAGAATTGCTTGCTATGATGTACTGATTCATGATCAGTACATCATAGCAAGCAATTCTTTACATGAAGTTCGAAAACTTGGGTGCAATCAGATCTGATTGCACCCAAGTTTTCGAACTTTGTATAGGGAATTAAAGGGTGAGAGATATATAGTCTATCTATATATCTCTCACCCTTTAATTCCACCTCTGTAAGCGATAAAATTTTATCAAATATTTTATACTACGAGAAATTATGGCTTTGTTTCATAGACGTATTGAATTTACCGATTGTGTTAAAATGAGATCGCTTAATCTTTAAATTTATTAAGTTAATCAAATTTTTGATTAAACGCAACGATGTTTTGTGAAATCAAAACGATAAATATTCAATGCAAACGCACCTGAGCTATGTTCCTTTATTGCAGCCATTAAACATTTGTCTGGCTCACAATTTGAGAGCACTTCACCTAAATAATGCTATAATGAAAATTGAATTAATAAAAATCGTTTCTTCAAATAAACTTCACAAATATATTATCATTATGTGAATTTTTACTTATAAAATTAAATACATATTTAGTTTCTAGTATTTTTTTTTCTATTGTCATTCAAAATATAGCTACAAAACGAAGAACCATAATTTTGATAAACACTAAATGATAATATGATTTATAATATAAATAAAATATTTTCAAGTCCAATAAATCAAAATTGATATTTTTAAAAAAACTAATTAAGAATTCAGTGATAATTTTATCAAATATTACAAGACAATATGATTTATAAGCAGAATAAAATATTTATTATTAAATTTGAAAAAACACTTTTTTATAAAAAAAAATTCGGGCTATTTATCTTATATATATATTATACAATGATTTGACATATATAGTATAATAGAAATATCATAAAAACTAACATCCATTCGAATAAAATATATTTTGTCCATTTACGAGTCATCAGCAATATAAGTTATACTATAATTTTCCACTTTACATCCAGAACTAGTGCATATCGATGGCTTCGATGGCGTTTTATCGATTTATCACAGGCGAAATCATTATCAAGAAGTCATCGGCAGCCATTTCATTCTAGAATATCGAACTATTTGCTTACAATTTAATTTAAAATCATCTGATAATTTTATATTTTATAGGTGTTATATTCACAATGATATATATTTTATAATATTGAACATGAGTTGAACAAATCTCCACCTTACTGAAATAATATATGTTAATTGAATTCTTATAGGTCTATTGAAATCATATATGTCTATTGAAATATTGTATGCCTATTGAAATTTTATATATCTTTAGAAAAATTGTAAAATAATTCAAATTTTCAAGAAAGAGCATTTGACTTCATTTATGAATAAGAAAAAAGGTCATTCGTCCTCAAGCCAAAGAGCTGCTCAATCAGCATCACAGAGGACCCAAGCTCCAAGTACTACGCCTGTACAAAGTCATTCATCACATCAGAATACTGCGCCTGCACAGAGTATTTCACCACATCAAAATACCACGCCCGTACAAATTGATCCACCACATCAAAATACCACGCCCGTACCAAATCCTGAACCACTTCAAGATACAGATGATCCAATAGCATTTTTTGCTCAAAGGGAAATCGATTACATCGCCACTTTTGCTGACGCTCCAATAATTCCAGATCCTCCAAAAAAACAAAAAGAACCACTTAAAATAAGAATAGAAGAAATTTTACACAATGACGATAATAATACATTAATTAAATTAACAAATCTTACGTGCAAATGATTTTCGAGATCTTATAAGACTTTTCATCCCTTCAATTGAATTACATCATTATAAGAATACTAGGGTTTCAATGGAAGCACGTTTATTAATTACATTAACATGGCTTAAACACGCTCCTGGATTCGAAGAATTGGCCGATAAATTCGGTATCAAAAAGACACACACAAGGCAAATTATCATTGATGTGATCGATGCAATTGGTTCTAAAATCGGCCGAGAATATGTGAAATGGCGATCATTTATTAAATGGGATGATCGCGAAAAATCAAAAGAATATCCTTATATGTTGGGAGCACTTGATGCCACAGTTCAAGAGATACCCAGAAGTGCCAATCAAGAAAAATATTATTCAGGCAAACATAAAATATGCTGCATCAAAACTCAGTGCTTTGTAAGCCCAAAAGGATTTCTTTTACATTATTCCAAACCAATCAGAGGAAAGAGACATGATTTTCATTTGTTTAGGAAATCCAACACATTGATAAGCAAATTAAAAGCAGAAGCAGATAAGATGAAAGCAGAAATCGATCAAATACCAGTCCTTTTGGCAGACTCTGGCTATCAAGGAATTCATCAAATTATTCCATGGGCATTAATTCCATACAAGCGCAGAAAAAATAGCGAATTAACTGCTGAGCAGAAGACATTCAATAAAAAATTGTCAAGCAGCAGAATAATTGTGGAAAATTACTTCTCCAGACTCAAACAATATTGGAGAGTAATTGGAGGAAAGTGGCCCTTACATGTTGATAATGATCTCACTTTTTATCACAAAACATTTGGCATGTGCGCTGGCTTGACAAACAAACTCTTGTACAGGAGGCCACTTCGTAAAGGCGCAGAAAAATGGGATTTCCTTGACTTAGACAGCATGGATGAAACAACAGATGCATATAATTACACAGATTCAGCTTCAGAGAGTGATAGCGCCAACTTATATTGAGTAAAAAAATATCTTTTATATTAATATAATTTTTATTCAACATAAAAAAATATTAAATAATAAAAATATTTTTTTAATATTTGCTAATGTCAAAAATGATTGAAAAGTGACGGCGGTTTGCGGTTTGACATGATATGAGTTGATTGGATATTTTATTTTTGTTCACCTGAAAGATATTATTGGATATTATTGAAATAATTGTAATAAAAGCAATATTAGTAATGATTGTCAAAATTTGTTTGAAATGTGACAACGGTTTGCGGTTTGACATCTTATTTGTTAATACATTTCAAACGAATTTTGACAATCATTACTAACATTGATACACTTCCAATAATTACATTGTTGATCCACTTCCATCACTAACATTGTTGATTCATTTCCAGTATTTGAGTTGCTTATCCACTACTATTATTGACGTTGTTAATTTACCTCCATTAATTGCATTGTTGATCCAGCTCCATAATAAACATTGTTGAACCATATCCATAATAAACATTGTTAAGCCATTTCCAGTATTTGAATTATTGACCCACTCCCATTATTAATATTGTTGATCTACCTCCATTAATGTTAAAATTGTTGATACGCATTCCTTAATATATTTATTTTAATTTGTTGTTAACTAAATAAAACCTCCTAAATAATAACTAAAAGAACCTGCATTATCTCTGAATATACTCATTTTTAATTAAATACTTATTATTGTGATTATTTATTTTTATATTATAGTTAAACCTAATTAAATGAACTCACAATACATTAAAACACTTTATAATTACAAATGGATAATAAATTATTGACCAATTCTCATTTCTAAGTAACGAAATCAAAAATGTGAATTATATCAATATGACACTTTTAACCTTTTTTAATCCGAAAAATCCAAAATACAATTTATACACATATTTAAGCAATATAATTATATATGTGATGATAGATCTCCATGATCAGAGTTTCGAGTTTTATTGAGTATTCATTGGACATCAAAGTTGAATCAAAGCAGCAAAAGTGAAATTTTCCGAGGAAATTTTGATGTAGCGAATTTTTTGTGTGAGCATTAATAGATCGAAATCACAAGAGAATATAATACCTCGCTACATATACTATTATATTATCATGTGAAATAAGAATGTTGAATCAATATCAACTGAGATATAATAGTATATAAAAAGTATTTTTATCATAGCTAAAAAAGAGATTTTTCACATGACAAAATTCTCAATGGAGAAAAACCATCTATATCCTACATATAACGTATAACGCATTGTTTTATACTTAAACACTTCTCTATGGATATATCTTGCGTAACATATATCTATCAGACTCGCTCATTTATTAAGCTATTAATAAAAATAGTATTCCATGAAAATCGTTTTCCATTATATTATCCGTGAAATGCGGTGTAAACTTCACAATTCTCCGCTTCGGACGGAAAGAATTGTGTAGCCACACACACTTGTCATGCATAATTGTGTATTAAGCAAAACGAAAGCATTCACGATACAAATCTGTTAATTATGAATACTTTGATTTGACATTGAATATCTCATATCGAGATTTGAGATATCAAAAGCAAATTTTGATTTTTTATTATACAATTTATATTTGTAGTCTAATTATTATAGATATCATCAAATATTGTGAAAGCACAATTTTTGGACCAGAAATTTTATAAAATATTCAAAAGCTCAATTTTTCGAAAGTATTAGATAGCTATTATATTTGACATTGAATGCAAATATACTGTATGTGATTTTTATGAATATTTGTATTAGATTATTTGCGATCTGAAAAAAAAAATTGAATTTACTAATATTTGTTCTATTTATATAATATACTCGGGCATTATATTATGATTAGAATACAATTGCTAAAATCGAGTCTAATATTTTAGAATATTTTTTTAAGATATTTGGGATTGAGTATTCATACTATGTGATTTTCATAACCAATGAATGTGCCCTACAGTATAAGTAAATATAAGAATAATTTTTTTCAATTTGATATCTTTTTTTAAAAAAGTGTGATTTTCACAAAAAAAGTGTTATAGTAGTAGGATTATAGTCCATACAATACTATTGTAATCTCTTTTCTCGAATTTAATTTTTCAATTAGCAATTCGAGAAAAAAAATATTACTTAAAGGACGACTTATCACTCCGAAAAAGACCAAAATTAAGGACGTGATTTTTTTGAAAGTTCGCGATTTTTCAAAAAGTCGCAATTTTTTCCCGAATCGCGATTTTTTAAAAAAATCGAAATTTATCGTTCAAATCGCGATTTATTAATAAATCGCGAAAAAATTCTGTTCGCGATTTTTAAAAAATCGCGATTTAAGCTAAAAATCACAATTTATCATCAAAATCTAGATTTAAAAATTCGGTTGCGATTTTGCCTAATATATTGGAAGTGATGAAAGATGTAAAGATAAAGATAAAGTTTATACAGTTTCATATAATGAATGGAAAACCAATAAGATAAGAAAACATTTAGGAGATTATGGGAAATGTTCTGAATTCTTTAAATCTAGTATATACGAGAGAGTAAAAGAAATTAGAAATAATTATTTTCATGAATGAAAAATAAACTTTAAAAATTCATGTCTTACGAAAAATTAAAACTTAGTTATGTTTATTATTTTATTTTTTTATTTTGTATGAAATGAGTGTCAAAACTAACAACGTTAAAAAATTAGGATTCACAAACGAGGAAATAAAGGATATATTAGAGGAGGTGGGTTATGAAGTTAATAAATATTATTTAAGAAATTGTCAAAAATTTGCTGAGTTATTAAATGATTTAGATTATGATGGAAAAATGAATAAAGATGATGTTATAAATTTCTTATATCCCACATCTGAAGAAGAAAAACCTAAAGAACCTGATGTTTTCCCTGAATATTTTGAAGAAAAAATTAAACAAGATGAATATTATAACGATGAGATTGAAAAACTGAAAAAAATAAGAGATGAAATAGATGAAAAAATTAAGGAATTAAGAGAAGTTGAAAAATATAATGAAAATGAAGTAGAGGGTTTAATGAATATCCCAGCTTCAGAATCAGAAGTTCAGAAATCTCATGAAGAAAGATATAAAAATTATGTCTTAGAATCAACACAAAATTTATTAGATGGTGATATTGACGAAACACTTTCAGAAGAAGGCACAAAATTTATTCATAAACATAAGCTTCAGTTTATTGACGATGGAGATTATCCATGTATATTACTTTCACCCCCTCTCGATTCTGAGAAATTCAAAAAAGCACTAAAAAACGTGACATATGCAACTAATACGATTAAGAAAGAAGATCATGATATTTACACAAATTATTATTTAAATAAATGCACAGGTGTTGATAAAGTTTTTGACTTATTAGATAAAATATCAAAAGAAACCATTGGAACCTATAAAATTTTGTGTGATTGTGGTTTCATTATTGAAGATACCAATAATGTTTCATATGAAAGAACAGCACCGAAGGAAGACGAAGTTGAAAGGTCTATACCATTCGTTATTAAGAACATAAAAGATATGAAAACGTATAAGCATTATATTTATTCATTTATTTCAGAAAAAATGGAAGCAACCCATAAAACATCTTCTCATCATTTTATAGCTATTCATACATTCCTTTTCAAAGTTGTGAAATTAAATAAGACAGGAATTAGATTTAATGTATCCGGGTACGCATTCTTGAGTAAATTAAAATGTATTCGTCACGTCGCAGATGATAAAAATTTATGTGTTCTTAATTCATTTTATGGGCTTTAAAAAATAAACTTTATTTTTATTTATTTTTTAATTTTTTATTCTTACATAAATGAACAAAAACGGAACAGCTAAAATGAATGATAATCAAATTAGAGCAGAAGGTAGAAGGTTATTTAAACGCTTCTATAACATTCCTGATGGTGTTAATCCTAAAACTCGTAGAAGCTATTTAAATGAAGCAATAGATGCATATGAAGGGTTTGACATTTCATCAGAAAGTGAGAGATTAGCGAGAATGTTAAATGTTAATATTGATTTCTATTATTGTGATCCTCAACCAGAAGACGTAGACATTAACAAGGTAGACTTTCCATTAGTGGAATCAATAATGATAGATCCAGAATTTGAAACAGTAAATATTTTATTAACACAGAGTCCATGTGGAAAACTTCACGCTGACAGAATAACAGACGTTGAAGCACTCACCGGCTATAGAGTTTGTCCATATTGTAAAGAAGAAGTTTATTCTATCCGTGATGATCCAGAAAGGAAAAACCAAAGAAGATTTTTAAAGCATTGTGAGAAATGTAAAGAAAATAATGGAAGATTAATTCAAGACGTTCAATTGCAAAAGACACAGCAACCATATGCACCACATATTACGAAACAGAAGATATATCAGTGGTTATTAGCTCACAATTTGCAGAAATATTATAAACCGACAAGATATTATATTACTTTTGACTTCGAAACATTAGAGACTAAAGAAGAATTACAACTTTCTGAGTGTGCAACTTTGAACGCTTACTTAAAACCATTCATGGTATCATCAACGGTTAAATTAAATGATAAAACATATACGAGGAATTTTTGCTTAACTTCGAGTGATTCTTTTATTTCTGATTGGATTGAGTTTTTATTTTCAACCTGTTCATTAGTTGTTGAATCAAATATGAGTCAATACAATGAATTAATGAAGTCGCAAACATTAAATGAAAAACAGAAGGAAGCATTTAAAGAACTTCTAGATGAGGAATTCAATAAAGTGAATATCATAGGTTTTAATTCGGGAAAGTTTGATTTAAATTTAATTCTTCGTGATTTAAACACTGCAAAATGGAAAATAAAATCAATGCTGGGTTCATCTTCACAATTTAAGCAAATCATTGTAAAGAAAACAAACGTTCCATATGAATTGAGATTTATTGACATCAGAAATTATATAGCGGGTGGGACATTAGACCAATTCACTCAAGATTTCGGAAACAATAAATCACGTGTTAAATCCTTTTTCCCTTATCAATTCATCACATGGGAGAATTACGAAGAAGAATTATATAAAGTGGAACCATTCACGAAAGATTCATTTTATTCAGCATTAACTCAAGAAACTATATCAGATAGTGATTATCAAATATATCTCAATGATGCTAAAAACTTTAAGAATAGATTAGAATATTTTATTCATTATTGTAATAAAGATGTTGAAATTATGATTGACCCAATTGATAAAATTATTGAAGAAACATTTGTTTATAAAATTGACATGCTTCATAATCTTTCTTTATCATCGAATGCTTCAATGATTCGTTACGCTTTAGCATATAAAGACTTTAATCCTAATGAAAAATATCCCGAGGAAGAGATAGAATCAAGTTTTGAATTAACGAAAAAGTATTGGAAATATAAAATTGAATCATATAAGAAACAAGATGAAAAAGCAGAAAGGGATACTAAAAATAATGTTTCAATGGATGATTTTCAATACTATCACGATTTAATCCTTTCATCTAAATGCAAAATGTGTGGTAAAGCGTTTACATATGCAAATAAACCAACATTGGATAGAATAGATAATGAAAAACCACATACCAAAGAAAATTGTCAGTTAATGTGTTGTTATTGCAATGTCGTGAAATCAAATAAAGATGAAGATGTTCAACGTTTAAGAATCAATTTAAGAAATTATGCATTAAAAAATAATTTACCAATGACTTTAGATTCAGTTGAAGCTTATCACATTCTCCGTAATGGAATTACTGGTGGTTTATCAAATGTTCAACATCGTGTTAATCTTAAAGGAATCACACACATTAATAAACTTTCATATAATCCAGAAACTAAAACTGTATCAAATGAGGACACCACCAACATCATGACTCATTTCGTTGGTGTTGATTTTAATTCATTATATCCTTCATCATTTTCATCTAATCCTCATGATTTCATTCAATATACTGACCATAAAATGTATATGCCGGGAAGATTGAATGGTGTTATCATTTGTGATACAGCAACAAAGAAAGCAAAAGCACTGGGAATAATTAAGAAGAAAAATACTTTATTCGTGGCTGAAGTAAAGGGTCACATTGATGAAAAATACATTAATGATTACATAAACTTTTTACCGATAATAAGAAACTTAGATATTATCACAGATGAAAAAACAATTGGCAGTTTTATGTATAATTACATGAAATCAAACAATCTACCAGTTGACCAGAAACAGAGGAAATTAACTCAGTTAGCATCAACATACAACCAATATCAACCATTTTCTTCTTATTATCTTTGGTATCTAATAGACAGATTTCATTTTATCATCGATGATATTCAATCAATTTTAACATTTACGAAAAACACTTGTTTTAATGAATTTGCGAACGAATTTATGAACGAAAGACAAAAGGCTGAATTAGAAGGAAATAAAGGAAAAAGTTTATTTTGCAAGATTTCACTTAATGGATCATATGGTTACGATGCAATGAATACGCAAAATTACGCAAAGACTAAAATAATGAATGCACAGAAGGCACGCGTTGCATGTATGTCAAATAAGTTTAAAAACATAAGAGAAATAGGTGAAGATACATATCAAGTGATGCTTAAAGATAGATTTTATAGATGTGATACATGTTTACAAGAGGCATTTTTTACTTTAGATAACGCAAAATACTGGTATTTGGTTTTCATTTATGATTTTATGTATAAATGCATGAATGTTAATCGTTTTCATTTCATTGAAGGTGATACTGATTCATCTTATTGGGCTATTGCTGGCGATCCAAATCTTCCTAACACTCAAGCATTTCAAGCAATTGTTACCGATAAACAATTTTATGATAAAAACATTTTCAAATTCGCACCTTTTGATTTCTTCTGTTTTGATGAGAAATTTAAACCTAAATTAAAGAATAAAGCTGAAGAAAAAGCACATGAGAAGAAGTTATTGGGTTTAGCAATTGAGAAACAAGGTGATAACATGGTTGCTTTATGCCCTAAGTGTTATACATCATTCAACGGTTCAATTGATGGAAGTGATTTTAAAAAGATTGCACAAAAAATGAAAGGTGTTAGTTTAAGGCAAAATAAACAATTAACACCTAAAAATTATTTGGATATAATAAATGATAAAGTGATATTTGATGGTCAGAATATTAATTTACAACTTAAAAACGGGTCAATGACTCGCTTAACAATCGGTAAGACTGCATTAACAGGAGCACACACTAAGGCTGTATGTTGTGAAAATGGATGTTGTATGCCATTTATTTAATAAAATGCCACAGAAGAGACAAAAGGAACCGTTAATGATGCAATTCAATATGTAAATAATGGTTTTGATACTATGATTCAAAGAGGTGGGCACCCTTAAAACATTTATTTTATTTTTATATAAATGGATAACGCAGATTTAGAAAATTTAATTGATGATTTAGTATTTAATCAAAATTTTCTTAATTATTATGAATTAAAATCATATCTCCAAAAACATAATAAAAATATAACGGGTGATGATATGGATTATTATTATCCATATTATAAAAATGAAATTTTGAAATATCATGATAAAATAATTTCTAAAATTAAAGATAAAATTAAAAATAATGAATATACAAAGGGAAAAACTAAATCACAACTTAAACAGTTGAAAGATTTCAAAAATAAAGTATTAACAGAAGAAGATATTGATGAATTATATAAATTATATAATCCTGAGCCGCAAAAGCCAAAGGAACAAAAACAAAGGGTGAAAAACGCCCAGGTCCTTCAGGCCATAAATGAAGCACAAGCTTTAATTTATGATTCATTAGTTAAACCATATTCAGCCCGACTTTTAAATGAAGATCAACTTTTGGAATTCATCCTTCAACATAAACTCGAAGCGGGAAAGTATATCAAACCTTTATATACAGCATATTTAAAAGCGGCATCACATGTGAAAGCTTTATTTGAAACTAGAGTTGCTTTAACTTTGCGTTTAATATATGTGTCACCTAATTGGTTCACATCATGAGCTGGATTTGTAATTCTTAAATGAGTTTGTTTATCATCAAAATATGGAGTATCAGAGTCATAGCATGAACTTTCAAGTTCTCTATAATATCTTCTACCGTCATTCTTTGCGAATATTTCATTTATCTTTTCGAATGAATGAAACACATTTCCATTAATCGGTTTAGTGTTTGGCACTAAATAGTTAGTCGTCATTTATTAATAAATAAAAAATCAAAATTAAAAGATGAAAATGAATTTTTAATTTTAATGAAATAATCAACTATGGCTGCAGGATTCTTTAAGAAACTGTGGGATAAAGTAAAAAGAGGAGCGAGTAAAGTTTGGGAAACATTGAAGAAGGGAGCAAATTGGATATTTAAGAATAAAGAAGCAATTAGTGACGTTGCTGAATCAATAACACCAAAAGCTGCCCCAATAAGAGAAGTTTTAAATAAAGGAGAAAAAGTTTATCAAAGACTACAACCGATACTAAGATAAAAATAATTTATTTTTCCACTATCTACCTCCTATTTTATTAAGTATTCCTTCAGCTATTCCACCAATTGCGTTACCTGCTTGTGCTCCCATCGCCGGATTACCTGCTTTAGTACCTAATACACCACCTATGATAGTTCCTGCCGTTTTCGCTACTGGTGCCAAAAAGTTTGCAATGGGTTTAATAATCTTTTTATGAACCCAACCCGCAGCTTTCTTAATTCCATCCCATAATTTTTTAAAGAATCCTGCCGCCATTTCTGATTTAATATTAATTAAAAAATATATTTCATCACTTATATTCTAATTTTTATTTAATGATAAATGAAACCAATTTTAAAAATAAATGAAACAGAGGAGGAAGAAATAAATGAAAGTGAAAATGTTCAACAAAAAATAAACGTTGTTAAACCAATTACTGAAATAAAAATTTTTTCATCTGTTGAAGAATTTAATGACTATTATGCTAATAATAAAAAATTATTTGAAGAATTGACAACATGTAAATTGAATAAAATGTTTAAAGTTGATGGATTCAAAATTTCAAAAATAAAGGGGGTGGTTAGTTTGAAATCTATTCCTCAATCAAGAATCACCTCATTAATGAAAATTGATGATTTAACAAAAAGAATAGAAGAGATTGAAGAAAGAATGAATCAAATAATTGATTTCATAAATTCAAATAATCATTAGTTTCTTAAAGTTCTATGTTGAACTCATCAAATTCTTTTTAAAGTTTATGACTCCATTGATTCCATTCAGGATTTAAACAATGTTTAATTAATCGCGGAATATCTGACATCATCTATATATATAGCTTCTTTTATAAAAGATAAAATAAATTATTTTTTATTTCATTATGGTAGTGAATCTTTCATTCATGAAAATAATTATTTCTAATTTCTTTTACTCTCTCGTATATACTAGATTTAAAGAATTCAGAACATTTCCCATAATCTCCTAAATGTTTTCTTATCTTATTGGTTTTCCATTCATTATATGAAACTGTATAAACTTTATCTTTATCTTTACATCTTTCATCACTTCCAATATATTTATATTTCAATTTTGATTTATTGGTTTCATATTCATTAACGTTTAATAATTCACAGTCTTCCTTTTTAAATAAATGTTTTATGTATTCAGGATTAACAATTCTATAATATTGCTTCCCTTTAAATCTTTGAATATAAACAGGAACACCATCCTCTAAAATTCGATAATCTATTTTATCTGGTTTTACTTGTTGGGTCATTTATGTAAGAATAAAAAAAAAATTATTTTAAAAATAACTTTAATTTTTTTAATGGTTTATAAATAAATATATTTTTATTTTTTATTTCATTGTGTATGGGCTGAGTGTAAATGTCTTACAATTTTGAAAATTTTTTAAATCTTGATTTATTCAAAAACGTAAGAATAAAACCGTAAGAATCATATATTTTTTAATTAATATGTTAAAAAAATGATACAAAATCGCTCGATATTGTATGAATTCTTACGTTTACAAAAAAAGTCACAAAACCCATCCTATCCTACTACTAAAATACAATTGATTTGACATGATAATTAACAAGTAAATTAATTATCAACTTACGGTACATATAGCAGAAATTGAAATTCTATGATGCAATTTAAATATGGACAAATGTTATAGTGAATGCAAATCGATTAGTGATGTACAAGTAAAGTTTCAGTGATTTGGCAAAAAAGACAAGTTTTTCTGTCAGTATAAACAGTGTATGTAAAGTAATTGAATACAATGCATGTAAATATTCCAAAAAATCTCTGATCAAATCAGTATGTATTTAGGTTTTTATTTTTTAAAACAAAATGATAAATGTAATAGCCTGTGTAGCTCAACCGGATAGAGCATAAGACTCTTAATCTTGGGGTTGCGGGTTCGAGTCCCGCCACTGGCTCTTTTTCTTTTTTCTTCGAGGTGAATACATTGTATTTTGCTGGGGTAATTCTGATTAGATTTGAACTGTAATAATCTGAGATAAATTCTAATAACAGTGCATTTCTCCAATCGATTATTAATTTTGGAATTTGAATTCAATGACTAAATAAATGAAATCAGAATGCGCCAAAACATCTATCTATTATTCATTTAGCGTATCTGTTACATCAAATATCTCGCTGATACATGCAAGGATTAATTTTCGTCAATTGAAAAGGATTTCTATTAGTAGTTGGCTTTTAACCCAGTACGACATCATAATATCGAATATTGCCTTCTCGAGAAAGACAATACACTAATCGCTTAGCTAGGGATGGAATTGCGATGGGAAATGTAAACTGTTTTTTTTCCAAAAAAGTGAAAGTGAAATATAATTGAAGCAAAAACGATTATTTTTATATATCCGCATGAAGTCATTCGGTAGAATGTAGAATAATTGATTATCTATCAAGCCATTGTTGAATATAGAATACATTGCAATAAAATATCCTCTTATTTAAACAAAATCTTCCATGTATTTTTGTCGATTCAAATTTGGTCTTATTATATCATTGGAATACTTTCAAACTCTCAGTGATTATGCACATAGTTAAATTCACATTCAAAATTGTCATAAATCACATTTTTTTAATTTGAAATTTTATTTTATCCTGATAATGCTTATAATGACTTGCGCTCTAGTTATTTCTGGTATTTTTTTGTAACAATGGCTCAAAATACAAGGATTTATGAATGGCCAATCAGAAATCAAGCATAAAGTGCTTTGTATCCTAGCACAATAAAAATTACTGTTGAAAGTGATATGTTTTTAGTTTTTCATTTTATTGTTAATGTGCTCAAAATTTCCCACTATAAAAAAATCCATTTATTTCAATTTATTGAGATGCTTTCAATTATTGAGAAAGGAAATTTTTCTCAGTCCTTTTTAATCTTCCTTATAATTATCAAGGACAAATATTAACAATAACAATGCAACAATAAATTTGGGAAATTTTCGATAAATTTCTTTTGTGTAAACATTTTTTATGAAATTTCATTCTCTTTTATATTGTTGTGAATGCTATAATTTTAAAGTTTTGGATTTTTATACAAATATTTTTTGAGAGTGTAATAAAATCAATTTTTTATCAAATTTCTAACTTCATTTTTTAATAATACAAATGTCAACACCTTGCGAAGAGATTCACAACGAAGCTATACCAGAAGATAATGATGAAGAATCATCAAGTTCCTATTCCTATTATTCATATTCTTCAACTTACAAAATTAATAATATGGAAATTACCCCGCTGAAAGATTTTCCCGTATTTGAAGACTATAAACTTGAACACCAAAATAATGCCCCAAAGAATGAAAGCACAATCGAAAGAAACAACAGCGAACACTTTCCACAACCAGAATCTCCTAAGGAGCAAAGCACTCCTGAAGAAGATCACTATGAATCTGACAACAGTAGTAGTAATGATGAAAACAAGCCAATGAAAATTGAGGCAATGTGGATTGAAAAAGTTCATGAAGATATGCTTTTATTCTATGATGAGCCAAACGGAAAACTAATCTTACCATCGAATAATGCATACTATCCTCCAGTGAAGAGAATTGTTTATGACGAAAAAGGTAATGCTTTTAAAGCTCATTACCCAAAGGCATATACAAATACTCAAAAAATGATCCAAAAGACCAATAAGTTCAATAGAAAGGTTCTCAAGCCAATCAGCAATAAATTATCTAAGCTTGGCGATAAACTAAATCGCGGTGCAAGAAAGATGGCAAAAGGAATCCAAGATCTTAATAAGGATGATTAGTTATATGTATGTTCATGCTGTTTTTAAACTTTATTTTAATAATCCAATTTTTTTTTTAGAAATTAGGCTGAAAATTTAATAACATTATTATGACGCAAATTTATTTTTAAAAACAATATTGAATAACTGATTTCTAATTCATGTAATTTTTATTTTAATTATTAATCAAATAGATAAATGATTTTCGGAAGTCCCAGTAGTATATTGGTTAGAATAGATCCTTGACACGGATCAGAGGCCAGTTCGATTCTGGCCTGGGACATTTTTTCTTTTTTCTTTTTTTACTTATCATAATATTAGGTAATTCTACTCCTGTACTTAATATATGTATCATTAAACGAAAACATAAGGAAATCCAAAAATGATAGAATTTTAAAAGATTTTTTTTATCAATTGTGAAATTAGTCCAAACACATTGAATATACTTATTGTAAATAAAATAAAAGTTTATAATAGTTTAAAAACCTTTGTTAAATTCTATGAGAATCTTCAGCAAGTTTTCTCATTTGCATCATAAATGACTTATGGTCATTTAATTTTTCTAATGTAAATGGATATCTGTATCTCCATTTATGGTTTGGATCTGCGGGGTTGTTAATTCTTTCATCACAAGGATGCTGCCTTCTTAAGTTGTCATTGATTCCTGTCAAGTCCTGAAGCAAGAAAATAGCCCACATTGAATTCGACCATAAATTCTGTCTCAAAATTACTTCCTGGAAATAAGTTGACAACTTATCTGGACATGGTTCATGCCTTGCCAAAACTCCATACCAGAATTTGAATCTGACTGAAGAATTTTCTTCCCACCATCCTCTCAATGTAGATGTATCATGAGTAGATGGACAAGCGACAGAAAGATAAGAGAATTTGTTGAAATCATCGAAATCAAAATTAGGATCTTTAGACATTCTTTGTACTCTCAAAGAAAGTAATGAGTTGTCTTCAATTGATTTGATGATTCCTGATGTGATTTGGCCTAAATCTTCTGCACAAATCAACATGTTCGTTGAATCCTTCAAAACTTTTAATTTCGCTTCAGCTTTTGAAACCCAAAGCTCAGTTTGTCTTCTGTAAGTGAAATCAAGATACAACTCTTCGAATCTTTGTCTCTGGTCTCCAGGAAGTTCTTGCCATGAAGTTGACCAGTGGATAATCGGTCCATTAGGAGTAGATTCAACTGATTCTTTCTTTAATTCAGTTCTTACATGATAAGTATCTGGATTCTCAGGATCTTCAATCAAAAGAACGTTTCCGAGTAATTCGAAGAGTTTTTGAATCAAAACATTTTTCTCATTCTCATCAAGTGTTTTGTCTTTCATTACTGCATCATAGATTTTACGTTCTGTATTATATTCTGACTTGAAATCAAATGTATCATTTTCTTTTGAAATATTCCTTGGAACGAAGAATTTTCTTGAGATTTCATAGAAATTATTCGGGAATTTTTCTTGGAGGTGTTTTCCTCTGATATATGGTTTGACGTATCTCTCGATATCCCATAATCCAATTTGAACTAATTCCTGTCTTGTCAATGGATTTGATGGGAAGAAATGTCCCAACAAACCTCTGACACAAGTATCGCGAGGAATTTCCCAAATCCTGAAGAAACCAAGAATATGATCAACACGTAATTGATGATACAATTCTGACATTCTCTGCAATCTGCTTCTTCACCATGCAAAGTTATCTTTCTCCATTTCTTCCCAGTTGTAAGTTGGGAATCCCCAGTTTTGTCCATCACTAGAGAAATCATCAGGAGGAGCTCCTGCACACATGTGGAGTCTGAACAAATGTGGAAATGCCCAACATTCAACAGAGTTAATGTTGACACCAATTGGAAGATCTCCTTTCAAAGCAACTTTGTGATTTGTTGCGTACTCATATGATTCTTTAAATTGTTTATCAGCAATGTATTGAAGCCAGTAAATAAACAACAAATCACTCTCTTTCTCATCACATATGTCTTCGATTTCTTCTGGAGTGATCTTTGAATATTTCGGCCATTTTCTGAATTCCATCGTTTTATAAGTATCTCTCAAGTGGCAGAAAAGAGTGTAAGGTTTCAACCACGAGCCATTCTTCTTTAAGAAATCTTGGAGATCTTCGGAATCTTTGAATTTCTCCTTGACAAGATCAAAAATTTCTTTGAGCATGTCCATTTTGAAGGAGAAAACAGCTGGAAAGTCAATTTGAGGAAGTTTTTCAAGTTCGTACTTTCTTCTCATGATGATATTATAAATATCTGTTGGTAATTCTGGAAGGATTCCGAGCAAATCAATATAAACAGGATGAAGAGCGAAACAAGAAACTTGTTTATAAGGATATGAATCATCCCATCCACCTTTGTCAGTTGTATCGTTTATTGGAAGCAATTGAATTAAAGATGCTCCCATTGAATTGCAGCAATCGACTAGTTTCTTGATATCTGTGTAAGAACCAATACCTTGTGAGTTCTGTGTTCTCAGAGAGAAGAGTGGAACATAGACGCCAAGACCTTTGAATAGTTCTTTATTTACATTTGTGAACCATTCGTTGATGAAGTATGTAATTGGTCGGACTCTATCGTATTGAGGAGCTGATGGACCAGTACATGTTCTGTTTGTTGGCTCTTCCCAGATAAATGTTCCATCATTATTGGATATAACGTATTTATAATCAAATGGGAATGATTGTGGATAGATTTCAATTGAATTAGACCAAACATAAGATACTAGGTTTTGTAATTGGCTCATCAAATATTATCTTTACAGTATGATTATATGCCCCGCCATTTATTAACAACGGAATCGCTTTATCTTCTTTGTTATTTCCGAGTGCTGGATGATCACCAACTATGTATGGTATATTAGAGCCACTATTATCACATTTAAGATAGAAGGTTACTTCTATAGGCCCCAGCATCTTGAATGTGAGCTGATTTATTGATTTTGATTGGGGTTATTTTTTGTGAGAGAAACTGACAGATGAATAAATGATTGGATAAGCCTGTAATTCTGAAGCAATATCCATATTTCCAGTTATCTCCTAAAGATGAAAGCTTTTTACAATGTTCTCGCAAGTTCATCAACCTTGGAACAAAGGTAACTAAACTCCTTTCGCCGATCCGATTTGCTCCATATTTAAAATATAGCTTGCATATGTAGAAGAAAAGCTAATTTTGAAGTACGCCCGAAATCCACCAACAGGATTTCGAGCTACTAAAAAGGTACTTTTAAATGTGATTTTTTTTATAAAAAATTAAATTTATTTTAAGATCAGACTAAAAACTAATTTTATGGAAAATCTATATCGACAAATTTATTACTTATTGGGTATATAGATTTTTTGATTATGGCGATTATGTCTGATATGCTTCCAATAAGCCAAAACACATTTCATACTGATTTCTATAAAAGGTATCTTTATTATAGAAGTGTAAGCTATATCTGTTTGTTTTTTTATTATAACAAATTCAAAATTCTCTTATAAGGACTAGATGAAATCTGTATTATTAAATCATTAGCTAAATGAAGGTTCAAATAGAAAGTAAATATCAATTTATATGATACTGAAACCAAATAGTCCTTTTAATAAAAGATAACACGCTGAAAATTATTGAGTATTTGCAAATCTCAAAAATCTATTGGTGAATTTGGCTCAACTTTTAAAATTATAACATCCATATCAAATCATAAAAGCAGACAAAAATTAAAGCCAAACCTATTGGCCAATTTTTTTTTGATATTTTGATTTTTGAGGTATACTTTTAAAAGTGGATTTAAAGCACTTATGAAAAAACATTAACTTCTGTCGTTATGATTATTGATTTAGACAATAATGATTTTAATCTTTGATTATCAAAACACTAAAGTCATCTTTTTAACATTTGCTTGGTAGCATTAACTCAAGTCTAAAGTACTATTTTATGTGGCACTCTTAGAATTTTTGTATTCATTGTACACGCTGAAATAGTACCATTAAAGTTATGGCGGACTTTCAAAAAATAGTTTGGTCACCTTTCCTTGGAACATGAAGAAGAGACTGTCGATTCATGGAGAAAGCCACCAATCAATGAGATTGCTAAAAATAAGCTATTAATTATATAAATGATTGATATTTCTTTAAAATATACCCATTTTAAATAAAAACAGCTTTATATTAAATAAGAGCAATTCCATGAACGAATCACTCTCTAAAACTAGTATATTTAATGAATATGTAGGTCTGATACAGCTCTAAATCATATTCCTTAAATTTGATGTCTTTTTCTATATATTTTCCCATCGAGACAAAGTCCTTTATGAATTTCATGTGCAGATAATTATACTTATTATGTAATTATATTAACAGACATATTTTTAAAAAACAATTGATTTAGATAGCGACACTTCCATAAACCAATTGATAAAATAGGTTACCATAGATCAGTTTAATCATAATATTTAGGTTTCATGCCCCGAGATAAAGAATTTTAGAATCCGGAAATACGTTATAATCTCCGACTTATGAAAATTCGTAACGGCGGACTTTTTCACGATGTTCAGAACAATAATATTGATTTTGCTCAATTTTTTTCCCGCCATAAAAAAATTTTGCCAGAATGAGTTCTGCGAAGAAAACAAGGCTTCAAAGGGCCATGAGCATGAAAGCTGAAGGTCTTTCGCTCACACCCATTGTTCGCATTAACCCATACATCGATTATAATGAGTTAAGTGCAGGAGATAAGACAAAATATGCTAAAACGGCTAAAGATATTATGGAAACAAAGATTATCAAATGCAAGACCTCTCAAGATTACTTCAAGTGCATGGCAGCATTCCGTGAGCAGCGTCGTCAACTCGCTCTAAAGGGTGATTATGATGGTGCCGAAAGAATTGATGGATACATTAGAAAACTTTCCGATTTCTTCCTTGAGAATCACATGTATACATCGAAAGCTGAACTCTGCGCTGTTTCAGAGTTTGTATTCTCAACTCAGAGAGATACCGTTTCAACAATCTCTGATCAATGGGATACTAAGATTGAAAATATGAAATCACAGTACAAGAGAGAGCTTTCTAATCTTGAGAGGCAAAATGCAAGCAAATTGGAGAAGTTTGACAATTCTCATCCAGATAAACTTCCAATCAGATACAATAAACTCTCACCAGATCTCCTTAACCTTCGTGAGCAAGAAAAGCACTTAATTGGATCCCGCCGCTTTGCAGAAGCTAAGCAATATCATAAAGAATACGAAAAACGCAAGAAAGAAGAACTCGCCAACCAGAAAAGACAATACTTCGACGATGCTGAAAAGCGCAGAGCTGAGATTATTAAGCTTGGCGAGAAGAAAGTTAGTGCACTCAAAGATGCTTGGGAAAGAAAGATATCCGAAGCTCAAATCACAAAGACACACGAGATCACACCTCACGAGAAGTCATATTCTTACTTGGAAAGAAATGTTACACACAGAAAAGCAGAGTACATTGGACAAGAAGATCCAATTCCTCCAGAAGTTGTTTTCGTCGCAAACAAAGTCGACCCAGTTGAACTCGAGAACTCAGTTAATGTATTCAGATCAAGGAACCTTGTTTCTTTCGACAAATCCATTACTCCAAGATCAGTTTCTCACTTGGCAACAAAACCAGGAAGAAATCTTGTTGGCGCTGAGCGCCCTGTTGACTATGGAGTTGTTGATGCAACTAATAAGTCGAAGACAGTTTGTTTGAAGAAGCAGGCAAGAGCTATTGATAGTAGAAGATGGCCGAAATAATTTAATTTATTTTTCACTCATTTTTATTTAAACATGCCAATATTTGATTTGATCTAATTAATATCTATTAGCTTAGTAAGTTCATTTATAGAGAGAAGGTTTTTGCTTCTCAATCAATGTGATGTACTTATGGTTAAAAGGAATGTGCCAACCATGGACATGGTTTATTTTTTTTTTTTAATCATCATTTCTCTATGATTTGTTTAGCTAGTTGGAGGACTTTGAAGCGTCATAATAAATCGAAATTGTCCGCAACCACTAGAATCTCACCAGATTTTTAAAATTAATTCCCCAATAATTTCATATTTTTACGATTAATTTAAAATCCTAGTTTAAGAACGATATGAGTCGAGTATCAGCAAATCAATCACTCAGAATGCATACAAATGGTCATTTATCATTGGAAAAAGATAAATATGGCAAAATTAGAAAGATATCTGTTTTTTTAAAAAAATAACTTGCTCTATGTGAATGTTTGCAAGTATGATATACTATTAATGGAAAACCAAATCGAAATATTATGAAAAATTTCAAAGAAATTTCAAAGAAGGAGAGTTCCTTCAACTTCAACTGTCCATCCTTCTCTCTTCTTCCTTTTAGGTAATGGAGCAAGATACATATGTTCACCCTTTGGACGATTGTGGTGCTCCAATTTCTTTCTCTTTTGTCCTGGATTTTCTGGATCATCTTCGTATTCTTCTTCTGCTTCACCTTCTTGGTTAGCATTCTCTTCTCCCTCATGATTTTCTGTTGTTTCTTCAGGTTGTGGCTGTGACTCCTGTTGTTGTGGTTCCTCTGGTTGTGTTTGTGATTCTTGTTGTGGTTCCTCCTGCTGTGGTTGGGGTTCTGGTTGTGGTGGTTGTAATTCTTGTTGTTGTGGTTGTGATTCTGGTTGTTGTTGTGCCTCCTGTGGATTTTCTTCTTGTGGCGGCAATTCAGGATCAACTGGCTCTTCTTCCATTGGTGGAAGAGATCTTTCTCTGACAATAGGTTCCTCATTGACTTCTGGTTCATGAAGTTCTTCTTCTTCTTTCTGCCTGGCTTGTGCGGATTTTTGATTATTGTAATTTTGCTCAACAGCTGGATCAACGAACTTCTCGGAGTCATCCCTTGCTTCGAGAGGCTTTATTGGATCTCTTTCTGGAATTGTTTGGTTCTTGTTAGCCATATTAATCGACACAAGTAATGGTGTGGTATTGACTTCTTCGCCACCTTTGCATGGTTTGAGGCAGCACCAGATAATGTAGATGAGGAGAACGAGTAATATAAGAGCGGCAACTGAAGAGCAAACAATTATGATGATTGTGTTGTTATTTTTGTCTTTGTCTTTATCTTTATTCAGCTGATTGCCTGAAGATCCCTTTTCTGTTTCGGAGTAAGGTAAATTTATGCTCTTAACAAGGCCTGCAAAGAAAAATGCCCACAATAAAATCATTTTATAGAATGAGATAACCATCAGAAAAAAACTTTACGCAATAAATAATATAGTACTATTAATACTATAAATATTGCAAATAATTTACCCACATAAAATTCGCAAAAACCGTCAATTTTGAGAGTAACTCCGCGACTTGAAACAGGCATGAAATTATTTTTATAGAAAATGTAAGACAAGTCAAAGACATAATTTAGATAAAATTTCTTTATCGTTTTTGGCACATTTCTGAAGAAGGCATTTTATTCATCATTGCGCAAAAATAATCTGCTTGTTAGTCAACATTAATAAAACTTGGACTTTCGCTTCACAATTGAAAATGGGATAAAAAAAGCTCAATGTCAAGCAAAATAAATGAGAGAGTTAATATGATTTCGGATATGTAATATACAGTTAATCAAAGAGGTTTTTAATTTGGCATCGATTATCCTTTAAAATTCACACAAAAAACATAAAATTTGCTGATCTACTAAAACGTAATGCATACTGAATCCAATAGTCACGAAAATTGGATACCTTAGTAAAATTCAACATGATACAAGAAGAATTGGAATGAGAAAATGGCTAATTGAAAATCCAATTTCATTGATAGAACTGTATTGGTATTTTACTGCTTGAAATATTATTGCTATATGCTAGTCTCTAAACTCAGCTTTGTCTTAAACCCTATTTTTTGATTATTGTTGATGAAGATATAAAAAAATACAACATTTCAAGAATTGATTAGTTTACATGAAATTGTGAGTTGATATAAAAAACTTTTTTTTTCATGAATACTCGCAGTTCAACGGAGACTCCACCAGATTGGACAGATTTAAACAGTAACACTAAGGCAGGACTTTTCCAGATACTTAAAGAGTTAAAAATCGCTCCTCCTCAAAATGCAGATAGGGATCAATTAGTACGTTTGATTAGACAAAAACTTACTTCACCACGTCTTTCTCCTTATAAGTCCACTGGAATGTTAACACGTCCAGCAGATAATCTCATTCCAAATTCTGATGATGATGATATTCCTGCACAAGAATCAGTAGAACCAGAAGATGACGAAAATGATACCGATTTTGAAGTACCTCCAATGGAAAGTGAAAGTGTTTCTCAAAATACTATCCAAGAAGAACCTGAAGGAAAAGTTGAGGAACCCAAGCAACCAGAAAGAGTTCCAACACCACCAAAATCTGAAGACAAAAAGATTGAGGAACCTGTCGAACCTGAGCATCGCATTTACTCACCTACAAGAACAATCAAAACACCAGAACGCTCCGTTCTATTTCCAAGTTCGCAGCCATTACCTCCTCCAAAAGAACAAGTTCGTCCAAGCAGTATTCGTCAATCAAACGCTCGTGTTAGAAACGATGGAAATCCTGAAGAGGTTGATGATGCCATATTTACAAACAGTTACTTAAGATGGGTGAGAAGGCCTGTAATTATTCTTGCTGGCTTTATTTTACTCCTTTTGGCTTTGTTATTATTATTGATTGCTTTACGACCATCACGTAGATCAGTTCTACATGCTAATATCGATTGGCTTTCTAATGTTTCTTACAGGAATAAGCATTGCTTGCAAGAAACTCAATATACTCGTGCTGAATTGTTTAATTTATATAATTTGACTGAAGAAGAATTCAATCAATATGCTTACGAAGATGGTGAAAGGGTGTTTGCCAAAGATACAAGAATTGGTGTTGTCTGCAAGATGATCTACGCAGGAGATAAGTATCCAGTCGCTGCTGGCATAATTATTGTTATTATTGTCGTCGCAATACACCTCTACATATGTAAGATATCTCGTGTTGGCAATCACCTCATTCGTTCTCTTGTTAGAGACCAATCCTGTGATCTTGATACTCTTCTTGTTGATGAAGCAGGTGAAATGCTTCCTCATGAAGTTGCTGAGAGACTCGGAATCAACGCAAGTGATGATTATTACATCGATCCAAGAGATACAATTTATGAGCTCACACGTGCCCAAAAGGCAAAAAAGAATAAGAAGTGAATGATGTGCATTATTTTAGTTTTAAAAGGTTTGTTTAAATAATCAATTTTTATTATGAATTTCAATTCGAGCAAACAGTTTTTAGAACACATCAATGAAATAATAGTAAAACATGATTGATTTGGTAAATATTTCATTTTGAATCTGGTGCCATCATGAAATTACAAAATTTCCAAGCATATTTCGACCAACAGGAAGAATATTGGACTTCCGAATTAAATGCTTCAGAAAAATAATTGCAGAATAGTAATAGAGATGGTATTGTACTAAATTAAAATAAATATAAAACAGAAAATAAAAATATGTAAATCCGATATCGTTCAGCGGTTAGGATATGTGGTTTTCATCCACAGGATCGGGGTTCGACTCCCCGTATCGGAAAACTTTTTTATTTTTTTCACCTAAAAGTTTGTTATTATTATGACAAGGAAAGTTATCAATCCTTGGGATATTCCTCCTGGGATTGATACAAATCATCGAGTTATTCACATTATGAACTTACCTCCTGGTAGTAATTGGGCCCAAATTAAGCCATATTTTTTCAATTTTCCAATTGAATTTGCGCATTTCTTTGGAAATCAAGCACTTCTTCAATTTGTAACATCAAAAGATGCTAGAAATTACATTCAAAACGAAAGAAAGATCATCGACGAATTAAATGTAAAAATAGAATTCTCAATTATACCAGAATTGATATATGATGATTTTGAATCTATTCCTGGCGCATCACTTGTTATTTGTGTACAAGTTAATAGGCTCAGACTCTACTTAGGAATTTATGATATATACGATCAGTGTTCGCTTTTCGGTACAGTAGATAAAATCATCTGTTTTGAGAAGAGTGGTAAGTTTGCTCTTGTCCAAATGCATACAATTCAAGATGCTGGACTTGCATTATATAATTTATCAAATTGTGAAAGGCATAATCCCTCATTCAAGCTGAGAATACAATTTTCAAAGAACCATGATATTGTCATTAAATTTAATAATACAAAAAGCTTTGATTTCACTCAGCCTTCTGCAAGATTAGAATTTGAACAAAATAGAGAGATTGCAATGTCTGAATTAGGCTTCTTTGAGCCAGAGCGTGATGAATCCATTCCCCAACAGTTTGATTTATTTAGACCTGTTGATTTTGACCCAAGTTTTTCAAATTGTTGTTTAGTTCGAGGTTTTCATGTAACAACCAACCCTTGTGATTCTATTTATGCATTATTTAGGCAATATGGTAGAATAACATCTGTAAGATGTTCAGCAGTTCGTGGAAATGGTTCGATTTCTCTTGTTTTCTTTAAAGAAAGCTTTTGTGCACGAATGTCCCAATACATGCTACAGAACTTGAATATATCTAATGATACTCTAGCTATTGAACTGGTCACAGAAGCTGAAATTCCTTCTCTTGGAATTGAATTATCAAAAGATTATAGTAATCTATCAGAATCATATGAAGAATCTTATTGTCCGCCTTCCAAATATGTTAGGATAACTCCTAATCCTGGAAATCTTGAAAAATTCCAAAACTCAGATGGAAAATTAATAAATGATGGAATTGCTGAGTTTTCTTCAATAGAAAATGCTTCTCTCTTCATTACTATGAATTCATTGAAAGATTTGAATGGAGAGAAATACTATATAACTTATTTTGAAAAAGATTTGTGAATCGGTATAATTTTTATATAATATTATTTTGTTTGTAGTATAAATCATCTATCTTGTGTAAAAGTCTTTACCATTTTTGCTTATTATCCCTCATTATCTAAAGTCACCTTAAATTCAAAATAATTAATTAGCAGATTTTGTCCTTATTTATAAGTGAAAATAAAAGAAAATATTAAAGTAATTTAATTTGTATAAGAATTGTACTGAATTTTCAGCAATATTTCTATTTTATTTAACAAATTAAAAATACAAATAGTATTTCAAAACATATCATCAAATATACGAAAATCATCGTTAATATCTATATCCGTATTGAAATCTGTAAATAAAATTTGCGGATTTTCATTTGATTCCGATTTTGACTTCTCTGATTTCATTCTTCTCATTAACGACTTATAACGATTCTTTACCTGTATATCATTTCTCCCTTTAAAGTATGAAGATATTTGTCTCCATCTTGGTTCTAATTTTGGAACAATGTCTATCAATAAGTCCTCTTCTTCCTTTGTCCAAGGATCATGATTGACATCAGGAGCTAAAAATCTAAACCATCTATCTCTACATTGGCGTTTATTTCTTCCATGCATTTTTGATGCAATCAATTTCCAGTCTTCCGCTCCATATTGTTTGACGAGTGCAAGTAGTTTTTCATCGTCTTTTTCTGTGAATCTGTGATACACTACTGGTCTTGACATTTACCCAAAGTGATGAAAATTTTGGTAACAATTTTACGCAACACTCAATTTTTACCCGCTTTGAAATTGCTATCGAGCATTTTTAAATTTAATACGTGATGGATAAGTCGTTATAAGAAATCGGTTATAAAAATTATCTAAATTTGCGAAATTATATCTGAAAGCTGAAATGGGTAAGCTATTGAAATTTTTCAATGGAAAAATATAGTTCATTAATTTGCATTCTACGAATAATTCTTATAAACATTTTCCAAAAAAAATAATTAAACGGGTTGTCAAAAAAGTTGGTATTCTGAAATCTGCTACAAATTTCCCAAATGAAAATAAAAATTAAATAATTAATATTATACATCTGATTTATATTAAATTTTTGATGACATAATAATTGAAATTTTGAAAGCAATCCTCATGGGAAAAAATATTGTTGGTATTCTTATAAATATTAATAAAAACTAGTAAAGTGATGTGGATAGATAAAATTGAGAGAGATATGAATTTAAAATTGAAAGGATATATATTGAAAGGTTTAATTTAAAATTATGTGGTCAGTATTTTTATTTTTGAAATTTCATTTTTTCATGTACATATGCATACTTTTATGTGATCATAATAGTAGTGTTGTTTATTTTTAATTTTGACATTTTCAAAAAAAAATCTAAATATAAAGGGCATTATATTGAGTCACCTAAAGAAATATGATTCAGTTCAGCTTTCTTTCAATGAAATCAAAACAATATAAAAACAATGTAAAAACAATTTCAAATAAATTTCAAAAACGCATGAATATTTATTTAACCTGTCTCATCTAGCAAATGTTAGTTGTTTTCAATATGTTTTCAAGAAATATGAATTCTTTTTGATATTAAGCACAAAAATATTGATAAGATACGAACATTGATTTGCTAACTCCAAGAACTAATATCATATGTAATTTTCTAACATATCAAAATAAATTTAAAAAAATTTTAAAAAAAATCTATTTTTTGATTTTTCTCGAAAATGATGTTCATGAAATTAGTACTAAGCCTGAATCGAATCAATCCTGGTTGTGTTGTTACAAGATTTATATTTTTCGCGTTTACAACAAGGTGTCTTTCGTTCCTTTCAAATGATTGAATAATGTGTTCAAAAATTAAAAGAAAACGATATACTCAAATTTCGATAAATAGTTTTCTCTGATATTAACAAATTGGGCTTAATGATCTCTATAAGTGAAATCAATTACCCATTCATTAAACTTCTATTTGGCCAAATGCACTGTGAAAATTGACAGAAAAAAATGACATTTCTAAAAAGAATTCAAAAAAAAAAAAAGACGAATACATTTTGCAACTTCCACTAGATTAAATGGGAGATTAAAATACGTGTTCATTGGTCCATATTCCTTTTGGATTGATTTAGAAAGAAAATCAAAATAAATTGTTTTAAAATTCAGTCGATAAGTAAAAAATGAACTATACCTTGCACAACATGTCACTTTCACTCTAAAATAAGAGCTATTCGGCTTAATAATTTGAGAATTTATTTAAATTTGATGATTTCAAAAAGAAAAAAAAAGATACAATTTCTCTTCATTTGTCATTGTTGCTATTTATGGAATTAGCATCCATTCTTTTTAGATGTTCTTAACTCTTTTTTTTACATCAAAAAAATTTTGAAGCTAAATAACTAACATCTTTGAATAAAATTTAATCGATTTCTGAGTATTTGAAAGAATTGTTTGGGTGATTTAAATGCTTTAGCATCTAAAAATACTGGAAAAAGCAACAAACTAAAGCTGATCGGAGATAATCATATGGCAGATGGTAATCTATTTGATCGCTTTATAGAACATAATGAAGAAGTAATTATTTGCCATACAAGTTTTGAAACTAAAATATGAGATAAATATATCGCTTAGCTCCGATTTGCAAATCATATTGGTATTAATACTGGTAGTCTGATCATTGTAGATGCTTTGGAAACAGAAAAATCTTTGATTAATATTGCTGAGGATCCAATATCTATTGCAGCAATATCGCAATTTTGTAAGTTATGAAAATCAATTTCCTATTCTAAAAGATACTCTATATGCATTAGCAGGAAGTGATCTTAAGGCATTAAATGGGGTAAAACATTTCTCAAAGGAAAAGACTAGCAAATTGCTCATTACATTAATGTTAAATTAAACAACTTTTTTATGGGATAAAATCAATAATTTTAATTGCGATTGCAATACCTTGGCAATCAAAAAAAGTCCAAAGAGGAACAAAAGTTGACATTGTTCGAGTTATTGATGTTGGGACAACAAGAATAGTTATTAAATCCAAATGCAATTTGTAATCAATTGAACTTCAGTGTTTTTCAGAACAGCGTTCATATAAGATTACCAATTCATGGCACAAAATTGTATTTATTTTTAATTTAGTATCCGAGGAATTTCATATTTTCTCAGGAGTACATCATATCCTAAGTGAATATTCTGGTAGTACACCTCTTGGAATTGCAGTAGATAATAAATTGAAAAGCATCACATTTTTTATTTGAATTGTATTAATGAAAAAGGAGAATATGGAAACAATTGTCTGTTAATGATATGTTTTTAAATTCTTTGTTTATGTTAAACACCTTTTGAAATCTGCATACGAACATTGTAAAAAGATTGTTTCATGCTTGCCCATTTTTCAAAGTACACTGAATTATAAGAAAATTCAACTTCTAGCGCAATTCCACTTTTTTTAAATTTTTTTGGCAAAGGAAGAAAGATTAAACAGTAGCAGTAGGCAGAAACCCATAAGATCAAATCATATAATAGCATAATAGTTGTGAAAAAATTAATTTATTTAATAATCAAGAGTTTTATGCCCAAAAAATCTTCATTTTCGTTTTTAATGAAGTTAAATAATGATATTTATAAAAATATTACTCCATATAGCATTTCTTAGAAATTTTTTTACATTGAAAATTGACAGTTTTTTAAAAAATGCATCCTCTTACAGGGAAAACATTTACTTTGCATGAATTTGGAATACTTTCAACAACACCCAGAAGATATCGATCGAATGGAAATCTTGAAGACCTTCTTCACGAAGGAACAGAATTATTAAAACTAAATTCACCAGCAAAATACGTATATTTAGATGATGGCACACTCGTAAAATCATTATCTGATGTCCCATCAGGATCAAACCTTTATTTATCAATTAAAAAACAATCACAACTTAAATTACAAAATTCTCCTTCAAAAATTGATCAAAATGATCTTTCCATAAACAATGAAGGTACTTTTACTCCGCGATCTCTAAATCTTAGCGAGGATTCTGCTTCTCAATTTTCTCAGAGCGGCCCTCGTTCTCCAACATCTTATTCATCGATTTCGACGCCATCCAAATTTTCTTTATCATCTCCGATGTCTTCAAGTACTATTTCAGCTCCAAAAGGAAGATCTCCAAGTAAATTACCGGCAAACTACTCTCCTGAGAAAGCTTTGATACCGGAAGTCAAAGAATCTCCATATGTAAGATATCATCAACTACTTATCAGTCTTCCAGGAACAACGGAAGATCAATTAATTTATTCAATGTTAAATGCTTATACAACTGTTCCTGTTGACTTAAGAGTCAATGCATCTGAGTATGAAAACCTCGAAAACTTACTTCGTAGAACGCAACATCGTTTATTTGAGAAATTATTGATTTCCGAATTAATTGTTCCGATAACTGCAGAAAGTATAGTTAATAATCCAGTCTACGAGCGTTGCTGTGAGCTCCTGGATGAAAAGAAACTCGAAACAATCAAACTTGCCATTTTAGGACCAAGACACAGCGGAAAAACAGTTGTTTTGCATGTAATGGCCGAATTATTCTACAGAAAGATCCAATTATGCGATGATGCCGATACAGTTTTCATGTTTCCCTTTAATTTCCAGAAATACGTCGATATCATTAATAATGGTGAGGTAGAGAACCTCTATAAATCAATTATGCGTATATTAATGGACTCTTTGTTGTTTTCCAAGTTCGAAATCTGGAATTTCTACCAACAAATTAAAGAATGGTTTTTATGTATCCCAATGGTTGGTTCTCTGCTCTCCATTCCTCAAGAAATGGAGAGATGTCCATTCATTGATACCCAAATGATGCGAAAAGTCGGTAAAAAGCTTCATTCCGACCTTCATAATAATTTGAAGTCTCCAAATGAAGTCATTTCGACAATTATATCAAGTATACCTGACTTTGCCAAGATATTCCATTTCAAAACCACTTGTTTCATCATAGATCACGTTTGTGAGACTCAAAATGGTTTTTCTGGCTCAATTGCAAATGCGATCGGTGATTCCCCCTACATTGTTTCTGGTGTTGAAGATTCCAAGTTCAAGAGCAATTTTAAGAAGGATTTCACTCCAATTATTATTGAAGATTTTATTGAACTGGATGATAAGCGTAGAATCAATTTCTGTGGTTTGTTTTTGTCCATTGATGATTGCCATGGCCTTCCTGGAGTCGTTCATCTCTTTGATGATGCTTTTAAGGAAATTCAAAAAACATCTCAAGAAAAGAAGTCATTTGCCATGTTTAAGAGCCGCGCATCAATTTGTTCTGCATTGATTGCTAACCAGAAAGTACTTCTGTTGTGCGAATGCATCAAAGAATTCAATCATTCGGAAGAATTACTTTCTGCAATGGACGAATTGTCCGAAGGAACTGCAAAACTGTCTATCGAAGTATAAAAATGTTTGTATCTAAATTCTTAGTTTATTTTATTTAATAATTTGTATTTCATTTTTAGATGATTTTAAAAAAATATTAGATTGACATTTTCAAAATAGATTAAATAGAAATTTATATGTACACTCTTGTATTTGATATATAATTGCTGGATTTTTATATAATTTGAAAGTCTCAGAAAATTTGAATGAAAAATGAATCTTTGGATTTATTAAGCAGTTTCGTGCATCATTTAGAATGCAATAATAAATAATTCGCTATGTTGATGGTTTATTTATCTTCATTTTCTGGAATATTTAAAAATTGAGAAGATTCTTACCTTCATATTTTCTTTCAAATTTTGATGAAAAGAAAGAAAATTTGAAGGCAAAGATTAATTTTTTTGACACTTCATTTTCCTAATATGTTTGGAAGTGCTATAGCTCTTAATGAGTGGAGAAAACTTTCATATACAAGTCTTCGTATTAGTGGTATTCAACAGGATACATTTCTGTCATTCACAATTAAACAAGTTTTTACAAATGATACAGGAGAAGATGCAAAAATTGTTTACTTAATGCCCAATGATCCTCAATTTAGTACTTATGATCAGCTGTTCATTATTGATGAGAAAGAGATCAAACCACAAATATGTCGTGATGGTCATGAAGATAATGAATTGGATGAGGATTCTTTCGAGGAAGAAGGAGATGAAGATAACGGTAATTTTGATGGAAAAGGTTTTAATGCATTTGTTTTGGGAAAAGTTGGTTCAAAGAAAACAGTTGAAGTTCATCTTAAAGTTTCTTTCATGGCCCAGATCAATGAAAATGGATATATCTATAAATTCCCTCTGATCAATAAAAATCTTGAAATTTCCCTTTTGGATGATATTCCTGACAATTTCGAATTTTCAATTGCAATAAAGACTAAAAAGGAAATACAAGAAATAATTGTCTCAGCCAAAGGTACCATGAATGTTATTGATCCTCATAATGTTACATTTGTTACAAAAACATATCCAAATGATCGTTCAATTATCATTGAAGCACGTATCAAAGATAAAGATAAGAGCATTGCTATTTCAAGTGATGGCTATATTTCAATTAGTACATATACCTTTTTTGAAGGAAAAGTTCAAGCAAATACGGAATTTTATTTCATTATTGACTGTTCAGGTTCTATGTATGGTTCACGCATTAAAAATGCTAAATCTTGTTTAAATGTACTTTTGCATTCCCTTCCAATTGGCTGTAGATTTTCAATTATCAAATTTGGCACTAAATTTGAAGTAGCCCTTGAGCCATGTGATTACACAGATGAAAATATGTCAAAGGCAATGCATCAACTTGATCTTATCGATGCAGATATGTGTGGTAATGATATGATTTCTCCATTGAAGTATATTTCCGAGCATCCCCAAAAAAAAGATTATATAAAACAAGTGTTTTTATTGACTGATGGAGAAGATGATCGCATTTCGATTTGTGCAATGGTCCAAGCAAATAGAGATAACTTCCGAGTATTTACAATTGGAATTGGTTCTGATGCAGATAGAAATCTAATTATAGATGTTGCTAGAAATGGAAGTGGCAGATACATCTTTATTGATGACGAAGATGAAAATATGAACGAGAAAGTCATTGAATTATTAAGATTAGCAATTTCTTATGCTATGATGCATGTATGCATAAAAGGTGAAAAGGCTCCTTCAGAAATGTGGCCTTTGACATGTCCTCCTTTGTTTGCAATGAATTCACAGAATTTTATAATTAAGTCACCTTTCGTCGAAAATGTTTCGATAAGTGGATGTATTGATAATAAAGAAGTTACATTTACTATCCCAGTTTCAAAATGCAAAGAAAATATTGGAATGAAACAATTGTTTGGTCGAAATGTGATCAATGATCTTGAAACAATGTATTCACAAAACCGTGAAGATGATATCATTGAGAGATGTATTGAATTGTCTCTTGATTCAGGTGTCCTTTCGGAATTCACATCATTCGGTGGAGTTCAATTCGAATCAGGTCATAAACATGTTAATTGTTCGATTGCACCAGAATCATCCGATGAGAATCGCAGTCTTTATAAATATCCTATTAAACCTGATTCATTCCCTCGCGATCAGAACCGAATCGAATCATCAAACTCCATCAGTTCTCTTAGTTCAGCTCCAAAATCTGAAAGTCCTGAAACAAGTCAATCTAATCCTGTAAATGACACTTATTCTATCAAACCATTTGTCCCCAAACAAACATATCATTTTCAAGGTTGCAAATTTGATATGTTTTATTGCATTATCTCATTGATTTATGAAATATTCCTATTCATCTTCTCATGGGCAGAAGGAACACCAAAGGCAGTATCCTATGAAGTTACTCCAGAAATAATATTGCCTGAAGCAATTCCTAAAGCATCACATAAAATAAATTCAAAAGAATGCGAATACTTAATATCTAATCAAAATGTTGATGGATCATGGAACGACTTTGATGGAATAGATCAGGGAATTAAGTCAAAGTATGGACATAAAGTCGCATCAACAGTTGCAGCTATTGCATATATCAGATCAACTTGCAAAGATAACTTGGGTGAATATTCTTTATTGATCAAGAAAGCCGTGTCATTCCTAGGTAATCAAGACAAAAACCTCAATTGGGATGCAATGATTCGCCAAAATTAACCTTTATAAAAATTTTTAATATAAACTCCAAATTTTGAGAATAGTTTTGTAAAAAAAAATCGATTTGTGCAAAGGTCTAATTATGTGTAAATATGAGAAACTAAAAAGTGAGTAATTTCCCGATTCTGGGTTTGATTTGAGAAGAGATGTAGGAAATTTTCCCTTTTTATGATGTTAATTCTATGATAAAATATTTGTATACCAATGTATGACAATCAATATAAAATTAAATTTGACAGCAAAAAAAATTCAATTTTTGAAAATTGTGGACAGCAAAACATACTCAAGAGCCTCCATGTCAATCTGTCTCTTGCAAAAATTCAGATTGTCACGAGTGTAGAGAAGAGGATATTCCTTCTCCTGAAGATGCGGAAAATTTCATTTATCAAGCCAAACAAAGGGGTTCCTTTGATATGGACAGTGTTCGTTTTATTAGCAGATCCTTATGTTGTGTTCAGAGCTTAGAAATCCTTAATCAATTCGTTGAGGGAGATGAATTTTTAGAACATATGCTAAACACGACAGATCCGAAAGTACAAGCTCTCGCAGGAAGTATTTTCATCAAATTAATGAAATTTTTTTATGATAAATACCGCCAACCAGTCTATAATTTCATTATTACACACGAAATTAACGATTTAACACTTAAAACTATATCAACATGCGCAATGTCATTAAGTAAAATAATTAAACGATCAGACCTTTCTCCAACGGAATTTTTCACAGATGAACTTTTTACACAAGTAAATATTCTTCTAGAATGTTCAAAAAACTGTGCTGTTATCAGCGCATTAAATTTAGCAAGAAGGCTTATTGAAAAACGTGCTGATATCAATAAATTTAACTACAAACAAATATTTTATTTAATGTGCGCCCAGAATCCAACTGTTAAGCAAAAAGCAATTAATGCATCCTTTATTATGTCAAGTGTGTGCTGTGTTTCCTTCTCTGAAGATTCGATCAATAAAATTTTGTTAATTTTAGCTAATACAATCAATGAATCTTCTTTCAAAGAAACTGCGAAAGCAATTACATTTCTACTTCAAATGTACTTATATTCCCATCAAAAAGTTTTTAATTTAGCTGTAGATTTATTTGAGAAATTAGTTGAAATTCTTAATAATGAATGTAGCTGCGTTGTCCAGATTCTATCACTGATTATTAAAATGACAGAATACTCAGAAGAGAACAATTACACAGAACAAATTTTGGAATTATTTTCAGATTATAATTTGGATAATGCGCTGAATGAGTTCATTAATGGTAATGATGATGGAAAGAGATATCATGCTCAGAGAATTAGAGATTTTATCGATAAAAACACTAATCAAGATTAAACCTTGTTTTTTGTTTAATAAACACTTGTACATATTTGTTATTTTTGACGAATTGACGTGATGAATAATTTGGATTATGTTTCTCCATTATGACTTTCAAATTAAATCTCAAAATTGAAAAGACTCATTGAATTGAAACGGAATGACTATAAAAAGTGTTTAATTTGCATGATTTCTTATTCTTTCTATTAAGAACTTCTAGAATATTAATTGTTGCCCTTTAAACTCTTATTAAATTGATTTATTTTGTGTTATTTAACTTGAAAAATTGTGGTTTTTGAAATCAATAATTTTGTCACTTTTGGGGTGCACGTTTAAAAATTTAATCATATGAAACCTAAAATCACAAAGAAGAATCAAAATTCAAATGATTATGTGAAGGTTTCTAATGAGGGTAACTCTCAGAAATCCTCCTTGTTCCCGAAAAAGGCTGTTATCTCGGTAGATGATGAATATTCCGATCCAGAAATTGATGACGATATTGAAAATAACGATATCTCAATAGAACTTCAACATGTTGATCTAGTAAATCTTCACAAGCCTCTTACGGTCTCGAGATACGCAGAGATAATATTTCGAAACGATTACAATGCAGAAGCTGACTTTGTGTGTAATCTAGATACATTCTCTCAGGTCCAGGATGAGATTACACCTAAAATGAGGAAAATTCTTGTTACATGGCTGATAAATGTTCATAATGACTATGGATTTTCTAATGATACGCTATATAGTGCAATTAAATATCTCGATATATACCTTTCTAACAAGAAAATTGAAAAAAACAGACTTCAACTTCTTGGTGCCGTTTGTTATTGGATGTCTTGTAAAGTTAACGAGATACAAATTCCATATGTTTCAGAATTATCAGATTTATGCAACATAAAATACACAAATGCGGAATTTTATTCACTAGAAACAGAAGTCTTTACAATACTCAATTTTCAACTTAACTTTCCAACATACAAAGGATTTCTTAGAAGATATCTATCAATAATCGGCTCAAATACCACGATTCAAGATATTTCTTCCATTATTTGTGAATCATCTTTGAATAATTTTATGCTATCCTGTTGCCTCCCTTCGGAAGTTGCAATTGCCATTATACTTGTTGCTTATACAGCTCTAAATTATATTCCACCCATCGAAACACTCAAAAAATACTTGAAAATTAATGATTTCGAAGTAATCATTGTTATTGCAGAGTGTGTGTTAAGTACAGTATGCGAATTAATAGAAAGCAAAGGAGGAGCAACATATCAGAAATATATGGACCATTTTAAGCCAGGTCAAGTTAATTTTTCAAGAGATCTAATTAATATAATCAAAAAACTATGTTAAGTCGCATCGCATAATGTTTCGTTCTTATTCTTTATGTTTTGAAAAAATAATTTTGAATTTTATTTAATAATCAAAGCTATCAAGTTAAAATAATATTTTGTTTTGTACTGTAAATTGTTATTTGTTAGTTTTATCCTAATACGATTTTTAATACAATTTAGAAGTATGTGGACTACTTTCTTCTATTTTCATTCCAGTCTCCGTCCCATATTTGCTAGAGAGTTGTATGCTTATTATCTCGTAACTATGCTCTTAGATATTTTGATATTCCAAATTGTTTAAGTTGACTTATTTCTGTCGGTATTAGAAAAATATATAGTATTTAAGTAAAAAATAGCATATCTGGAGTTGATATTCATAAATATATATGTTTTAAGCTCGTGGAGTGCCTCAAAGATAAATTTATTAGATGCACTCATGAGAGGAGTCAAACCAAAATTTTATTGTCTTAAGATCAGCTTTCCATCAAATTCAAGCTGAATTTTTGATGATGCATATCGATGTGGAGTATAACCATAAATATTTCATTGAAGAATAATTTTTGTATTGAAAGTTCTACGAAGCAATAGTTTGAATATATAATATTGTGAAAATATGATTAAGAAAGGTTGCGCAATAGCAATTTCGAATTGACAAATGGCATAGAGAACGAAGGTATCGAATATCATTGTAGTTTTGTATTCTCATCCATAGATTAGTTGTAGAAACACCTAAATATAAATCAAAGCAAGGAGGTCCTGGAATTGAGCCAACTTTATTATGATAATATGAATTTGCTCCAACTGAATACCAATAATTCCATGAATGAATGTTACCATCAAGATATGTGTAATTTGTTGTTGTGAAACCTAATCCTGTCAAATTAAAATTTGGATCTGTAAGTATTTCGCATTTTTTAATTATAAGATGGTTTGAAAAGTCTGAAACATGTGATGAATAAATTGGATTGGAACTTTGATTAAAATAAAAAAAATCTTCGGGATAATCATCAGGAAAATGAAATAAGAAGTTGAACACACCATTAATTAGGAATATATCATTAAGGTAACCTAGGACACTAAATTTATCCCTTTCATTTATAAATGAAATTTGTTTTCGGGCGAGATATTTGTCAGTAGGGAACAAAGAACCCACATGATGGTGAAATATTCTCACCCACTTAGTGTCATTGATTTCGGTCACAAAATATCCATTTAGATTTCTAACATTCTCAATGAGAATCTATTCCGATTTCCTGAATCAGAAATGAAATTATTAATATGAAGTTGGCATTAAACCTTGTCTAAACACTATTTTTATTGTGTTTTACTTCGTTATTCATCTTTTTAAATCCTGCTATAAAAGGATTTGCTCATCTGAAGCACTACACTTTGTGATATAATTTCTATGGATATGTAAAAGCTATTTTAGGTTAAGTTTGAACAATTCTCCTTATTTTTTTTTTATGAAAAACATATCTTTGCAAAAACATATCCTTGTAAAAAAAATATTCAATACTATATATGCTATGATGAAAGACACATTAGTTTCGTCCTTGGATCATATAGAACCATATGGAAATTTAAATCTGAGTAAAATTGCCACCAGACTTGTTTTGAGGTGTGGACACATAAGATCCGGTAAATATAGTTAGCGTATGACTATGTGCTAAATCACTTCTCTCTAGACAAATTCCTTTTTCCCATCAAATTTCTGATTTTGTTCATAATGAAATTATTGCTATTGATTGTTGCAAAATACCTATAGAGAAGAGATTCGTAAATAAATGCTCAGGTATCTTGTGTGAAGATTGTATTGATTTCAAATATCAAAATATTATATAAAACTTTTTTTAACAAAAACAATCCTCTATCCAATATCTTATGTGACATTTCTCATTATTGTTTGAATTGAGACTTAAAATTATTATGATTTATCTCAATAAAAAAAACTGTAAATATAAAAAAAGGGTAATTAAATTATTATGAATATATAAAAGCAATTTAAGCCGACAAAAGGCGTAAGAGTTTCTGCAGTCTTGCAGTCAAAACTTCTCCACGCTTGAGTGCCTCTCTCATCTTTGCGGCACGTGAGTCTGGTGGGTTTGTATGGATTGTTCCGGAGACTCTATCAATCTTGGCGTTAAGTTTTCTTGAGAAAATAAATCTGCGAATTTCATCTTCGATGAACTGCTCTGTAACTCCGAAAGCGGAGGCCATAGCTGAGATCTGAAGGGCCTGGTATGGTTCCAAGAACTGAGAATAAGCGCGTACACGTAATTCCTTGATAAGATAAGAAATATGTTGGGAGAACCAAATATCGCAGGTCAATGTATTCTCTACTTCGGCCAAAGCATCGAAGAAATCCCTGTAATTCAAGTGGTATAAAGATAATAATCTATGTGTCTGTTCGTCAGCAGCGCGGACCTCCAAAGCCTTATCAATCTTGGCTCCGAAGTCGGCACGTGACAAAGCAAGTGTCGCGAGAACAACTGTACGATAAATAAACTCATCATATGTTAAAAGTTCTGTAGCTGTGTATGTAGAAATTGTAGAGATGAATAACTGGCTAGCAGCAATAAAGTTCCTTCTAGCGCAAAGGCTTAAGCCTTCGTAAACTTTTAATCTGTTCTTTCTTTCCCAATCACCGCCATCTTTGATGAAAGCCTGTGCCTGATCGTTGAGATCGTTGAATGTTGAGAAATCCTTGAAGAAGAAAGCAACGCGCATCTGGCAGAACACGACATCAATCTTTTGACCGAGAGCAACAGTATGAGCTAAGAGATCTGCTAATCTCTTCTTGCTATTCTCAAAGTCACCAATGCGGATGAAGAATAAAGCAAGATTTTGGTAGGCAACACGAACATCTTCTTCGGATTGATTTTCTGTTGCGTCATTGAGAGCGACTTCAAGCTTAGATTGCTCGGCTTGGTTAGCAGCGGTGGCTGCATTGACGAAATCGTTGTCAACAGTCCAGCCATATTCAGCAGCTAAAGATTTATAGAATGGTAACATATTATTTTTCTTGATTTCGCTCATTAAACTTGTAAAGTCTTCGTTTGATTTGGTGTGGGCATATTGTTCGTGAATATTTGCTATTTTTAAGTCTGGAAATGAATCAAGAGGCGATGACTCACTCATTTTTAGATTTGAAAAATTTGAACATGTTTGTTCGACTAACTTCTGGAAAGTTTTCCGGAAATTTATGATTTTTGGCTGCAGCGTTTGAATACACTTTATGAACTACGTTTAATTTCCTTTATAACCAATCATAAAAATTTTGTTCAATCCCAAGCATCAAAAAAAATTCAAACCAATCCAAATTGACTATGTAAAATTTCTTAAAATGCAATAACTATATCAATACTAAGAGCCTCGCTGTAAAATTCCAATAAATTAATTCTAAATCTAAGCAAATTAATAAAAATATTGAAATATGTATGAGCAATTATAATTTATTCTCATAAAAACTAATATTTCTTCAGGATAGAAGAAAATGAATTAGATAAAATTTTCATCAAAAATATATCTTGAAAATGAAGTCATTAATAGAAAATATGTATATATTTTCTTGTGTGTTTAGTAAAATTTCATGAATTAAGATGATTTGAATTAAATAAAATTATATTTTTAACAATTTTTAGAAAAGAAATAATTAATAATTTTAAATTATAATGATAAAACATCTATATCTCTATTTATTCACTTATCATTGGCCGGAGCAACAGGATCGTCAACGAATTCCTTCATTGCCTTCTCAACCTTGGCCGCAGTAGTAATTTCGTGTTCCCACTGACCGCGTCTGTTCATGTAAGCGTCCACTCTCAAAGACCTCCACACATTCGGAGCTTTGTCCTTCATCTGAGCTTCAATCAGTCTTTCGCAGATATCTACCTTTGAATTCATGTCTCCAGCCTTGAAAGCGTCCTCAACAATGTAAGATCCGATTCTATTGGCTGAAATTTCTGGTAAAATTGGGAGCATTTTCCTGATAACTTTGTTTTTGGCTCCTGGTTTGATTGTTTGTGACTTCAGGAACTCTGTAATGATGTAAGACCCATTTTTATCGAGGCAGAGACCCTTAAATCTGTCATCTGTCATATCCAAAATGGCTCCAACGATTGGATCAGCTTGTTTCTGCTCGAATCTGCATACGCTCTGCAGGATCATGGCTCCTGCCTTCTGGCTGCGTATTGACAATAAAGAATCAATGAGATTTCTGTTGTTTCTGTACTTATTCAATTCTTGGGCGATTTTGTCTTGGTTAAACTTCAATCTGGCGCAAGCACTGACAAGGGAATTGATGACTTCGGGGCGCTCGTCGAGTAAAGAGGCGAAATTCGGAAGTAATTGGTCGCATAATTCTGGAATGAAGTCTTTTGGTGTATTTTCGAGGAATCTCTGTAAAACAAAGTTCGCTTGTCTATCTCTGGCACATTTCAAAGCGTCTGTCTTGAAAACATTGTCGAATAAGACTTTTTTAGGCTCATCAACGTTGAGTTTGAGGATTTCTTCGATCAAATGTGATGAAGACTTGTCTCTGATCGAGTCAAATGTAAATGGAACTGATCTGGCAAGGTAATTGATGAGTTTTGGATATTTATCGCTTTCTAATGTGCAAATTGTTTGGAGAACAGCGGAAAAGTGGGGTGATCTGGTATAATCTGGTGTTTTCAGCATTGCTTGGATGATTTGGCGACATAATTTATCGATATGTTGGTTCATTGACTTAAAACCACCATAATGAGTAATCAAAGAGCGAATAACATGGGATCCGTATCTATCCTCACTGAGATCTGGTGCATATGACTTTAATTCTCCCAAAATTGAAGCAAATAATTCTTGGAAAGATGGTTTAAAGTCTTTGTTATCGATGAATTGTGCACACTGGATGAAAAGATTTTCAACACTGTGTGATGCATTTGCATCAAAGCATAAATCTGACATATGTTTGCTAAAAGCGAGAAGAAGATGATGTAATGACTCAACAGGGCATTCAGCGATATACTTATCTAAAAATCGAGATGCTGTTTTGTGTGTTGCAACAAGAACTTCTTTTCCTTCGAGTTGTTGATTAATTGGACCAAAAAAATCGGCTGCAGCTTCTGTTCCTTTGACAGCTGCATAAGCTTCCATAGCGCGTGAGAAGAAATCAGCCTGTTCCTGATTTAAATGTGGTCTTTTCTCTCGCTCGTGCATTTTTGTCACCTTTTAAAAAGACATTTTTGATTCTTTCAAAAATAAAATTTTGTTGAAATATGAATGTACTATTTATAGTGATGCTAATTGATTTCCAAATTTTTTTCAAATAAAATAATTTGATGAGAAAAAATGTTGATATGAATCTGAAAATTTGAATTTTGAAAAAAATTTGGAAGATTTTTGGAAAATTATATCAACAGAATAGTTTTATTTTATGTATAGTTATTATATTATTCAGTAATTTTAGGTAATTTTAAGATTTTTATGAAATATTTTTTTAAAAAAGAACAAATTTCATTTATCTCTAAATAAAATATAAGTATTCTTTATTCTAATGCAGCAATTGGTAACTGATCTACCGCTCCTTCTTCGCGAGTTGGAGATTTCATGATGATTTCTCTAATTTCTGGGGTTATACCAGATTTGTGCTGCTTCTGGAGCAAATCACCAACCATGATTTCCTTTTGTTCCTGAGTTAAGTCCCTTGCGTAATGTTTTGCGAAATCTTTAAGAGCTTTGTGCCAAATTACTGGCTGTTGCTCTGTTTCTGCTGCAAACTGCATGAAGTATCCGTATACAGCATCAACAGCTCTGATTGCAAGTACTTTTCCTTTTTGGACGAATCTGATAACGAAAATTGTTCTTGGAAGTGTAATTGGCTTTCCTTCGCATAGCCAAACAAGGAAGGAGTTGACGAGATCGTTCGGGAGCTTAACTCTGTTGACCATGGCTGAGATGACTCTAGCATCTTTTGGAGAACAATTATCTTGAGCGGCCAATGGCATCATTAAGGCTAAAATGAATGGCTTTGGACGACGAGCAGCTGCTACAAGGGCATCCCAAACGTTTCTTGGGAGCTTCTTGTTGTCATCAAGTAAGTTTTTGATATATTCAAGTAAAACTTCGCGATAGAATTTGTTGCAACGTGCTTCAGAGGATGTCTGAGCGAATAATGTTGTAACTTCCTTGATTGCATTGGCAGACCAGTTTTCTGGCTCTGAATATTGCAAAAGTTCGAACCAATCTGGAATATTCTGAGATGCAATGACATTAATAGCCTTTGGAAGCTTTCCACTCTTGTAGTTTCTAAGTAAAACACCAAGCTTTTGATAGATTTCAACGACACTTTGATCGGATATATGTGCTGTTTTTTCTAATGTAGAATTTAATTTGTTTGATGTTTGGACGACATCGGCCTTGAAAAGTTCGAATAATTGTTTAGCTTCTTCGTCATTTTCTTCAACATCAACGACAATTTCATTTTCAGAATCATCTTCATCCTCTTCTGCTTCTGGAAGAGCGATTTCTACATCCTCAACGACCTTATCTTCTTCAAGTTGATCTAAAGCAGTGTTTAAGATTTTCTTTGTCATATCAGATCCAAGTGAATGTTGAGTAATAACTTTCTGTTTTTGACGACTTTGTTTTGGAACGACGAATGGGTTCTGCTGTTCAGCAATATCTTCAACAAGTGACTTTTCATGATTTGGGGCCTTCTCAACCTTCAAAGCTTTTAAACTCATCCGGATTTTATAAAGCCAATGAGACAAAATTTTTACAGGAAATCAAAATACACAGGTAAAATAATAGTAAATTTATATGTTTTAAAGTTTAAAAACTATTTTCCGCTTAATTTAAAGTCCTAAGATCAAAGATTCAAGTCCATGAAAAATAACCCCTTTGAATATTCTAAAATCATTCTTTAAACACAATTTCATAGCTCCTAAAGTTAACGTTTATAAGGTTGAAATAGTGTAACTTTGATAAATAAAAAACAATTATTGAAATATAAGAATTTTAGAAAGAAAGTTTTTAAAAATACATAACACAAGGGTGTTTGAAAGCAAGAATTGGCATCTTTTATAAATTAAATTATGACATCAAAATGATAAAAATGCCAACTAGTCAAACACATAAATTGCATAATACAGAAGCACCGCAGTGAGATCCACTTCGTGGAAAATGAAATGTCAGACAATTGAAAATAGAAATGGAGAATCAAAAGCTTTCCATGACTGGAAATGGCCATGCACCTTTCATTTGGTTGTCAAGACTTTCAACAACAGATTTGTCTTGAGAAATTTTTGAACAATCCTGATAAATTTTTGAGAAATAGGCCGAATGTTTGATATCTTGAAAAGTTATTGTGAATTCGCGCTCCGGTGTTTTAATATTATAAGTGAAATTATCATTATAACGGGTTATTATAGATCTACTTAGATCAATATCATACTTGGACCAAAGGGATTTCATAGATTCATTTATTATTAGATGAGTAAGCCCTTTTCTGTTATCAATTGTTAAAAAAAATATGTTTCGATCTTTTCCGATCGCAACAGTGGCCGGAGCTTTCTCCATAAAATTTTCAATGTCAATTTTTTAAAATTTCCTCTGAAAAGTTAGATAAAATATTAACTATGCGACCAATAAAAGGTTTAATCCCTTCAATTGTAAAACATTGAGACAGACATAAGTTTATTTATGATATGGAAAATGGTCCAAGCAGATAACTTTTGCTCCGGCAAATTTATTTTGCATGTCCGTTAATTTAAAAGCATGAGAAAAAACTATGGGAAATTAATATTATTGAAACAATGAGTTTAGTAATAGATCTAGTTCAAATAAGTAAGCAGCATCCGCCTTTGCCTTCATCAGTTTCCTTAAGTGTGAAAAGCTTTGGATCATAGGCAGTGTCTTCTTCTGTTGGACGGTCCTTGAAGAGGTAATAGAACTTCTTAAAGTTGACCTTCTTGAATTCTTTGCCTAATTTATTATCAAAGTTCTTTAACATGGTTGATTCAGAATATGGGAGGCCTAAGAGGTATTTCATTTTAACAATTTGTTTTCTTGTAACCTTCTGGTCACGGTCTGTGTCGAGAACACGGAAGTAAACTTTAAGTTCGAAGCCTTGGAGATAACCAGAGAGGCCTTTCACGCAGTGAAGGCATTGCTTCTGGGTAACAAAACCTTCATTATTAATATCTAAAGAATCGTAAAGGAAGTTTGTACATCTTTCGCTAAATTCTTTGACACCGATAAATTTGAGTGGACGTGGATGATCAGGATCCTCATCTTCCTTAATATCTGCATCTTCATTATCAATATATGGTCTGGAGGCCATTGATGATTCCCAGTTCTCGATCATAAAGGCTTGAATGAACTCATGGAACTTCTTCTTCTTGAGAATATTCTTTCCATCAGGATCGAATCTAGCCCAGATTTCATTGAAGTTAGCAATCTTAGATTTATCGATAGGCATCGAAGAGAAAAATAAACAACCGATTTATATAACATTTTTGAATGACTACAGAAAAATTGAGGAAGTTAAATAATCAAAACCTCTCTATTTCAAAAAGCAAATTTGAAATTCTCGATAAAGTTTGGAAGCTCATTTGTACAGTCACATGATATAAAGCGACACTATTCTTATGAAAACTAATTAGTTTTGAAAAAACAACGATTAATTGAAAAATTAGTAGGAAAATATCATGCCATATAAAACATCATCGATAATTTAACATTCTCGATTTTTTTATTTCTACTTTTTCACAAGATTGTAGTAGTAGGGTATGAAGGGTTTAGTGACTTTTTTTGTAATCGTAAGAATTCACACAATATTGACCGATTTTGTAAGTAATTTTCATACAATCGATAAAATAAATGTATGATTCTTACGCTTTTTATTCTTACGTTTTGAAGTAAATCATGATTTAAAAATTCATGTCTTACATTTTTGAATAATTTATTTTTTTATTTTGTATGAAATGAACGTCAAAACTAACAACGTTAAAAAATTAGGATTCACAAACGAGGAAATAAAGGATATATTAGAGGAGGCGGGTTATGAAGTTGATAAATATTATTTAAGAAATTGTAAAAAATTTGCCGAGTTATTAAATGATTTAGATTATGATGGAAAAATGAATAAAGATGATGTTATAAATTTCTTATATCCCACATCTGAAGAAGAAAAACCTAAAGAACCTGATGTTTTCCCTGAATATTATGAAGAACGGATTAAAGATGATGAATACGATGAAAATGAAAGACTGAAAAAAATAAGAGATGAAATAGATGAAAAAATTAAGGAATTAAGAGAAGTTGAAAAATATAGGGTGTCCAAAGGTGTGTTTAGCACAAACCTGAATACTGCGAATAGAAATAAACAAGTTACATATATATAAAGTTTATTTAAATATAATCACCATTGGATTCAATCACGCGTTCGCAGCGATCGATCCAGGCTTGAAAGACACGCTTTAAATCATCATGAGAAAATTGCTCAAATTGCTCTCTTACAAAATTTTCAAGATCATCTGGACTCGCGAATTCGCGTCCTTCAGCTCTTTTTTAGCGTGCCGAATAAATAAAAGTCAGAGGGTGCAATATCAGGTGAATAAATTGGGTTTGGAACAACTTTGACATTGTTTTCCAACAAGTATTCATTACCTTATGACTTTTGTGAACTCTTGAATTATCAAAATGAATTGCAAACTTTTGTTTTTTGTTGTTTGGATTTCTCAAACTCATCAGAATTGATAATTTGAGTAAGAACATTGTCAATTAGATACTGAGCATTCATCGTATTAGGTTTTGAAGAATATCAATTGCGATGATGCCATTCACGCCCCAAAAAACCGACAACATCATCATTGGTGTGTCAATTTTTTTCTTCGGGAATGTTTGCGGATCTTCATCCTTCGGGATCCACATGATTTTGGCTTCTGTTGCATATTGAAACAAGACTCATCCCCTGTTACTAAAAAGCGAAACTTCTTGGATTGATACGCACGCAATATAGAGAGGAGCTCTTTCGAAGATTGGACTCTAGATTTTTTTGAACTGAATTAAGGTTGTGCGGAACCCAACGTGTATACGCTAGTTTGTAGTTCAAATAATTGTGCAGATAATAACTGACTGTTGTACGTGGTATCTTTGTCATCTCCTCTATCCTTCTGAGTGATGCTCTTGGGTCTTCATCTAGCGCTTGAAGAATTGCTTTGATTTTTCTTTGATCCGGCGATTTTTTGTCAATTTTTATGATGGGCGCCTTTTTGGTCATGAAGTGATACATCCTAACATGATACGTCACAGTGGAATAGCTAGGAGCATCCATACTGAAGCATTTTACCAATGTCTCGTAGATTTTTTACAGTCTTTGCATTTTTTTGCAAGAGCGAGGATGTTTTCTTTATGATTCATTAAAAAAATGAAAAAAATCCCGCCAAAATTTCCCGCGAAACCGCCTCTTGTCTCAAAATTCATTTTATATCCCGGCATGGCGCCAAAATACAACTTACTCATCATATACATATATTCATATTTTTGATTATATATTTATAATCAGCATATATCTCCTTTAATAGTCTCATATAGAGCGCTGTGCTAAACGCACCTTTGGACACCCTATATAATGAAAATGAAGTAGAGGGTTTAATGAATATCCCAGCTTCAGAATCAGAAGTTCAGAAATCTCATGAAGAAAGATATAAAAATTATGTCTCAGAATCAACACAAAATTTATTAGATGGTGAAATAGACGAAACACTTTCAGAAGAAGGTACTAAATTTATTCGTAAACATAAGTTACAATTTATTGATAATGAAGGATACCCCTGTATCCTACTTTCACCACCTTTAGATTCTGAGAAATTCAAAAAAGCTCTTAAAAACGTGACATATGCAACTAATACGATTAAGAAAGAAGATCATGATATTTACACAAATTATTATTTAAATAAATGCACAGGTGTTGATAAAGTTTTTGATTTATTAGATAAAATATCAAAAGAAACCATTGGAACATATAAAATTTTGTGTGATTGCGGTTTCATTATTGAAGATACCAATAATGTTTCATATGAAAGAACAGCACCGAAGGAAGATGAAGTTGAAAGGTCTATACCATTCGTTATTAAGAATATAAAAGATATGAAAACGTATAAGCATTATATTTATTCATTTATTTCAGAAAAAATGGAAGCAACCCATAAAACATCTTCTCATCATTTTATAGCTATTCATGCATTCCTTTTCAAAGTTGTGAAATTAAATAAGACAGGAATTAGATTTAATGTATCAGGGTACGCATTCTTGAGTAAATTAAAATGTATTCGTCACGTCGCAGATGATAAAAATTTATGTGTTCTTAATTCATTTTATGGGCTTTAAAAAATAAACTTTATTTTTATTTATTTTTTAATTTTTTATTCTTACATAAATGAACAAAAACGGAACAGCTAAAATGAATGATAATCAAATTAGAGCAGAAGGTAGAAGGTTATTTAAACGCTTCTATAACATTCCTGATGGTGTTAATCCTAAAACTCGTAGAAGCTATTTAAATGAAGCAATAGATGCATATGAAGGGTTTGACATTTCATCAGAAAGTGAGAGATTAGCGAGAATGTTAAATGTTAATATTGATTTCTATTATTGTGATCCTCAACCAGAAGACGTGGACATAAATAAGGTAGACTTTCCATTAGTGGATTCAATAATGATAGATCCAGAATTTGAAACAGTAAATATTTTATTAACACAGAGTCCATGTGGAAAACTTCACGCTGACAGAATAACAGACGTTGAAGCACTCACCGGCTATAAAGTTTGTCCATATTGTAAAGAAGAAGTTTATTCTATCCGTGATGATCCAGAAAGGAAAAACCAAAGAAGATTTTTAAAGCATTGTGAGAAATGTAAAGAAAATAATGGAAGATTAATTCAAGACATTCAATTGCAAAAGACCCAGCAACCATATGCACCACATATTACGAAACAGAAGATATATCAGTGGTTATTAGCTCACAATTTGCAGAAATATTATAAACCGACAAGATATTATATTACTTTTGACTTTGAAACATTAGAGACTAAAGAAGAATTACAACTTTCTGAGTGTGCAACTTTGAACGCTTACTTAAAACCATTCATGGTATCATCAACGGTTAAATTAAATGATAAAACATATACGAGGAATTTTTGCTTAACTTCGAGTGATTCTTTTATTTCTGATTGGATTGAGTTTTTATTTTCAACCTGTTCATTAGTTGCTAAATCAAACATTGAACAATATGAAGAATTAATGAAGCCGCAAACGGCGGGGCCTTTGTCCCATACATTAAATGAAAAACAGAAGGAAGCATTTAAAGAACTTCTAGATGAGGAATTCAATAAAGTGAATATCATAGGTTTTAATTCGGGAAAGTTTGATTTAAATTTAATTCTTCGTGATTTAAACACTGCAAAATGGAAAATAAAATCAATGCTGGGTTCATCTTCTCAATTTAAGCAAATCATTGTAAAGAAAACAAACGCTCCATATGAATTGAGATTTATTGACATCAGAAATTATATAGCGGGTGGACATTAGACCAATTCACTCAAGATTTCGGAAACAATAAATCACGTGTTAAATCCTTTTTCCCTTATCAATTCATCACGTGGGAAAATTACGAAGAAGAATTATATAAAGAGGAACCATTCACGAAAGATTCATTTTATTCAGCATTAACTCAAGAAACTATATCAGATAGTGATTATCAAATATATCTCAATGATGCTAAAAATTTTAAGAATAAATTAGAATATTTTATTCATTATTGCAATAAAGATGTTGAAATTATGATTGACCCAATCGATAAAATTATTGAAGAAACATTTGTTTATAAAATTGATATGCTTCATAATCTTTCTTTATCATCGAATGCTTCAATGATTCGTTACGCTTTAGCATATAAAGACTTTAATCCTAATGAAAAATATCCTGAGGAAGAGATAGAATCAAGTTTTGAATTAACGAAAAAGTATTGGAAATATAAAATTGAATCATATAAGAAACAAGATGAAAAAGCAGAAGAAGAGATACTAAAAATAATGTTTCAATGGATGATTTTCAATACTATCACGATTTAATCCTTTCATCTAAATGCAAAATGTGTGGTAAAGCGTTTACATATGCAAATAAACCAACATTGGATAGAATAGATAATGAAAAACCACATACCAAAGAAAATTGTCAGTTAATGTGTTGTTATTGCAATGTCGTGAAATCAAATAAAGATGAAGATGTTCAACGTTTAAGAATCAATTTAAGAAATTATGCATTAAAAAATAATTTACCAATGACTTTAGATTCAGTTGAAGCTTATCACATTCTCCGTAATGGAATTACTGGTGGTTTATCAAATGTTCAACATAGAGTAAATCTTAAAGGAATCACGCACATTAATAAACTTGCATATAATCCAGAAACTAAAACTGTATCAAATGAGGACACCACCAACATTATGACTCATTTCGTTGGTGTTGATTTTAATTCATTATATCCTTCATCATTTTCATCTAATCCTCATGATTTCATTCAATATACTGACCATAAAATGTATATGCCGGGAAGATTGAATGGTGTTATCATTTGTGATACAGCAACAAAGAAAGCAAAAGCATTGGGAATTATTAGAAAGAAAAATACTTTATTCGTGGCTGAAGTAAAGGGTCACATTGATGAAAAATACATTAATGATTACATAAACTTTTTACCGATAATAAGAAACTTAGATATTATCACAGATGAAAAAACAATTGGTAGTTTTATGTATAATTACATGAAATTAAACAATCTACCAGTTGACCAGAAACAGAGGAAATTAACTCAGTTAGCATCAACACACAACCAATATCAACCATTTTCTTCTTATTATCTTTGGTATCTAATAGACAGATTTCATTTTATCATCGATGATATTCAATCAATTTTAACATTTACGAAAAACACTTGTTTTAATGAATTTGCGAACAAATTTATGAACGAAAGACAAAAGGCTGAATTAGAAGGAAATAAAGGAAAAAGTTTATTTTGCAAGATTTCACTTAATGGATCATATGGTTACGATGCAATGAATACGCAAAATTACGCAAAGACTAAAATAATGAATGCACAGAAGGCACGCGTTGCATGTATGTCAAATAAGTTTAAAAACATAAGAGAAATAGGTGAGGATACATATCAAGTGATGCTTAAAGATAGATTTTATAGATGTGATACATGTTTACAAGAGGCATTCTTCACTTTAGATAACGCAAAATACTGGTATTTAGTTTTCATTTATGATTTTATGTATAAATGCATGGATGTTAATCGTTTTCATTTCATCAGCTGGATTTGTTGAGTTCATTGATTCGAAATAATATTGATAATTGACATTTTTTATTACGATTAAAAATATGGTAAAGCATTATTTTCCAGTGATAAATAAAACTAGAATAAGATTACCTCAAGAATTCATAAATTCAACGAATAAGAAATTCATTCATGTTATAAATTTTAGTGTTTTCAGAAAATATGAGTCAATGTCATATTCATCAACAGGTTATATTTCACTTCATTCAAATTTAGTTCAATCAAACCCATATAATGACCATTTCATAAGATTTTCAGATGGTATTAAAAATGTAATTGATAGATTAAAATATGAACAGATTGACAATATCGAATTTTTGGAATTTTGGTTTAAATATCCCGATGGAAAAAAGATTGAAGTTAAAGATAAAGCTGATACTATAACAAAAACAATTACAATGACCGATCCGGATAGTGGGGAACAAAAAGAAATAAAACAAACGATAGAAACTGGTGAAAGGTCAATTATTATTGATTATGATTCAAAGGATTATTATTCGATAATGTTAATGCTTGAATATTAAATAGCCTTAACAAAGAATTTTTCAAGTGATTTTATATTCATCAACTATTTTATTATAAATATCATTATATGTTAAATGAAGTTCAGTTGTTGTTCCGTTCTTTGATATCTTAATTGTGCTAATATCCTTTATAGGATTTATTTTTGCAACTGTTCCGCAGCATGAAACCTCATCATCTATGAAAAATTGAATCTTAACGTCTGAATCTTGAACATCACAAAGAATGGCGATAATGTGAATTAATGATTCATAAGGTAAAATAATTAAACCGGATTGATCAATTAAATTTATTATTGAATCATAGTTATTAATTATTATATCACGGTAAATTTTCATTAATTCAGAATTAATGTCTATTTTATATGGGTTCTCGATGTTTGACGAAAGAGGTGGGGGTATGTTGGATAAGTGGGAATTTCAACAGGTTCTTTACCGGGTTCAGATAAAATGATTGGGTCTCCATCTTCTTTATTTTGCTCCTCCTCCTTTTTCGGTAAGTCACGAGTTAATAAATTTGGTTGAGTTGCTGACCTTGTTAATTCAGGGCTAACATTAACTTTAACATTTTGAATAATTCGTGATTTATCATCATTTACGTTATAACCAACCGTAATCTCTGCTTTTGCGTTAGTGTTCTTTTGACTAGTGAAACGTCTTCTCATTTATAATCGAATAAAAAATATATTTAAACTTTTATTTTGCCGGAAGTTTTGAATCTATTATTCCTGTATTTGTTCTTGAAGTTGATTTTTAGCTGGTTCATTGTAATTAATAGACCTAATATATTCATTAATTGCATTCTTATAATCATCTGATTTCTCAAATTTTCTTTTATCTGATTCCTTAACTAAATCATAAGTTAAACCTCGTTGCTGATATAATGGTTTCTTAATTAAATCTTTGAATGCTTGAGATAAAGCACCTGATGCAATTCTTGCTACTATAATTGGTTGGAATTGATGTTTAAGTTCATCTTTAACATTTGCGAAAACTGGATCGAATAAAGCAACTTTAAAGAATTTCTTAGCTGAAATTTCAGGTCTAATATTTGCATATCGACCATCAAACTGGTTAGAATATCGTGGTAATCCATCCGGTCCCTCTTCAATAGCATTTAATTCTTCATTGAAATAAGAATATGGATTATAACGGTATGAATTAATTGGACCATTTTCACCTTCTCCAATGTATTGTTTAACAGCTTTTCCATTTTCATCAAATTGCATAGGATAACGTTCATTATATGCTTTACGTTTAGGATAATCAGTTATAGTTAATTTGTAACCATGTATGACTTTAATATTACCTTGACCATCAGTAACGAAAACTTCATTTATACCATCAGGTTTTCCATTTGGACCCGTAATGTCTGCTTCGTGTGCTTCCCAATTTGGACCTTGACGTTTGGCATATGCTTGAGCTTCTGGTAATGTTAAAACGTTTCTCATTTGTTTAACATCTTTTTGAAGACCAGCAACAATATGAACTAATTCTTTCATTCCATCAGGAACTTTCATAGTTCTATTATATGCACCCTTTTTGTTTGTTCCTTGTTTTAATGGAACCTGTAGAAGATTTGCTATTTCTGTCATGTTTAATTATAAATAAAAAATAAAAATTAATTATAAAAAGTTAATCAAATTTAACACTTCCTTTATTTAAATCAACTATTATTTTCCCATGTTCACCTAATTGCTGATATTGTGTGTAAAGTTCATTAATGCTCATTGGTAAATTCACTTGATAAAGCATAACGTTCAACTGTTGACGACTAAACCCGCTGAAAATGAAAAGTGTTGATAGATTTGATTTAATGTTTGTGCTTAATGCTTTGAAATATTGAACAGCCATAAAGAATGAACACTGAATGTGTCGACATTGAGTTAATAACTGATTAAAATATGATTTCTCATTTGTTATTAGTTTTGATTTCACCGCATCATCTAGAAAAATGAGTGAATGCAAAAATTCTCTATCAAAATTTGAAATAGAAAGTGTTTCAAATAATTCATCCCGTTGTTTATCAATAATTTTATCCTCTAATCCTTGCTTCTTGATTGTATTATATAATTCTTTATACATTAAAAAGTTTTTTAAATAATCTTCTGCTTCTTCTTGTGATAAATAAATAATTGGAATTTTGATTAAATGCTTTAAAGATTCAAATGTATCATCTGAAGGTGAACCTGAACGGTTGATATAAATTAACACATGTGAATAGGGGGAAGTGTTAGCAATAATGATAATTTGTTTTAATATCGTTAATGTTTTACCTTTATTCTGTTTACCAATTGCTGCAGTGATTGAATTTAAATAACATTCAGAATATGGAATTTTCATTAATTTTTCCTTAGATAGAGCATTTCTATTATCACTCAATGCTTCATTAATCATATCATCTATGTATGTATTATATACTCCTGCTAATTCTTCATAAGGGGTGGATGAATTTAAATCCATTTAATCAAAAATAAATTTATAATTTTAAACATTTCTATTCATCAATATTTCATCATATGAACTTCTATACTGTGGTGGTGTACCTGTTGGATGATATTTCAAACCTTCATCCGGTGTCCATGTCCAATATGTAGTCCTAGTAAACCAAACCTGAGGAGGATTTGTCACCTTTGAACAGTAAGTGTCATTTTCACCCTGAATGATTGGATAAGCTTTCACTTGTACTGTAACTTGTGAGTTGAAAGTTTCTAATCCATCAAAGAATATACCCGCTCCATCACGTTGAACTGGAATAGTGCATAAGAATGAAGTTTGGTCTTTCCATGTTCTAGCTAATGGCGTGCCATCATCTGCATTCAGTGGTCTAGTTAATGAGTCCTCGTATTCTTCTGTGCATTCATACACTCCATCTAAATCAGAAGCTTGAAGCATACGTGTAAAGAATATGTCGCCCACTGTGGTCATCGCTTGATCGGGGAAGTTTCTGGAATCTATAGTGACCTGAAGACCTCGAAGCATTGGATTTTCTAAAACTGTTCTTTGCATTGCATTCTTCGGAAATGCTAACACAACATCTGTAACATTATGAAGAGCGTATGAGAAATCTGAGCTAATACCTTCAGGAGTGATGCAACCTCCATTTAGTGAACGAACGTCAATATGTTGAGCTGGAATCATGAATGGATCTTCCTTACTGAATAAACGTGGTATTGCTTTAACTGATTCTTCAATTAAACCGTATCCTGGTGTAATGCATTTATCCTCTAAAACTTCCATCTTTGTGCATGAAATAATAACGTCATCAACTGTTGCGTCAGCAGATGTAGCGGCTAAGCTTGTAATTAATTTGGCAGGAAGTCCAATTTGTTGGAATTTGCGATCATATTTATAAACATGATTCATAATCTTTTCATAATTTTCATCAGTTATCTTTTCATAAACGTAATTTTTGTAAATCAGCAACTCTTAACGGGTCAACCTGACAAAATACTAAAGTATCCCTGAAAACATAATATTTAAGAATGATATCACCAAATGATTTAGGATAATCATCGAACGCCTGAAATGCTAACAAATCATTTACCGGAATAATCATATCAAAAGTGACATCAACTTCTTCATTTGCTTTCTTGAAAACTTCTGAAGGGTCAATATATTTACCACATACTGAGTTATCATATTTTTGAACATTATTATATAACGAATGAACAAACTTTTTAACTTTCCTTTCTGATTTTGGTTTATATGTTGCAAATGCGAAAGATTCATGGGCGCAATCCATCTGAAGATAACCGGCATCACCTCTTTCGTTTCTACTTCTAATTGTTTAAAGCTTTGATTTGATGATTTGTAACCAACGAATAAACGCATGCATTTAAAAGCGGCATCACATGTGAAAGCTTTATTTGAAACTAGAGTTGCTTTAACTTTGCGTTTAATATATGTGTCACCTAATTGGTTCACATCATGAGCCGGATTTGTAATTCTTAAATGAGTTTGTTTATCATCAAAATATGGAGCATCAGAGTCATAGCATGAACTTTCAAGTTCTCTATAATATCTTCTACCGTCATTCTTTGCGAATATTTCATTTATCTTTTTGAATGAATGAAACACATTTCCATTAATCGGTTTAGTGTTTGGCACCAAATAGTTAGTCGTCATTTATTAATAAATAAAAAATCAAAATTAAAAGATGAAAATGAATTTTTAATTTTAATGAAATAATCAACTATGGCTGCAGGTATATTTAAGAAACTGTGGGATAGAGTAAAAAGAGGAGCGAGTAAAGTTTGGGAAACATTGAAGAAGGGGGCAAATTGGATATTTAAGAATAAAGAAGCAATTAGTGACGTTGCTGAATCAATAACACCAAAAGCTGCCCCAATAAGAGAAGTTTTAAATAAAGGAGAAAAAGTTTATCAAAGACTACAACCGATACTAAGATAAAAATAATTTTAAGCCGCTAAGCGGTGAGATGATCCATAGGATCTCATATTTATTTTTCCACTATCTACCTCCTATTTTATTAAGTATTCCTTCAGCTATTCCACCAACTGCGTTACCTGCTTGTGCTCCCATCACCGGATTACCTACAGTAGAACCTAATACCCCACCTATGATAGTTCCTGCCGTTTTCGCTACTGGTGCCAAAAAGTTTGCAACGGGTTTAATAATATTTTTATGAACCCAACCCGCAGCTTTCTTAATTCCATCCCATAATTTTTTAAAGAATCCCGCCGCCATTTCTGATTTAATATAGGGTGTCCAAAGGTGCGTTTAGCACAGCGCTCTATATGAGACTATTAAAGGAGATATATGCTGATTATAAATATATAATCAAAAATATGAATATATGTATATGATGAGTAAGTTGTATTTTGGCGCCATGCCGGGATATAAAATGAATTTTGAGACAAGAGGCGGTTTCGCGGGAAATTTTGGCGGGATTTTTTTCATTTTTTTAATGAATCATAAAGAAAACATCCTCGCTCTTGCAAAAAATGCAAAGACTGTAAAAAAATCTACGAGACATTGGTAAAATGCTTCGGTATGGATGCTCCTAGCTATTCCACTGTAACGTATCATGTTAGGATGTATCACTTCATGAACAAAAAGGCGCCCATCATAAAAATTGACAAAAAATCGCCGGATCAAAGAAAAATCAAAGCAATTCTTCAAGCGCTAGATGAAGACCCAAGAGCATCACTCAGAAGGATAGAGGAGATGACAAAGATACCACGTACAACAGTCAGTTATTATCTGCACAATTATTTGAACTACAAACTAGCGTATACACGTTGGGTTCCGCACAACCTTAATTCAGTTCAAAAAAATCTAGAGTCCAATCTTCGAAAGAGCTCCTCTCTATATTGCGTGCGTATCAATCCAAGAAGTTTCGCTTTTTAGTAACAGGGGATGAGTCTTGGTTTCAATATGCAACAGAAGCCAAAATCATGTGGATCCCGAAGGATGAAGATCCGCAAACATTCCCGAAGAAAAAAAATTGACACACCAATGATGATGTTGTCGGTTTTTTGGGGCGTGAATGGCATCATCGCAATTGATATTCTTCAAAAACCTAATATGATGAATGCTCAGTATCTAATTGACAATGTTCTTACTCAAATTATCAATTCTGATGAGTTTGAGAAATCCAAACAACAAAAACAAAAGTTTGCAATTCATTTTGATAATTCAAGAGTTCACAAAAGTCATAAGGTAATGAATTACTTGGTGGAAAACAATGTCAAAGTTGTTCCAAACCCAATTTATTCACCTGATATTGCACCCTCTGACTTTTATTTATTCGGCACGCTAAAAAGAGAGCTGAAGGACACGAATTCGCGAGTCCAGATGATCTTGAAAATTTTGTAAGAGAGCAATTTGAGCAATTTTCTCATGATGATTTAAAGCGTGTCTTTCAAGCCTGGATCGATCGCTGCGAACGCGTGATTGAATCCAATGGTGATTATATTTAAATAAACTTTATATATATGTAACTTGTTTATTTCTATTCGCAGTATTCAGGTTTGTGCTAAACACACCTTTGGACACCCTATATTAATTAAAAAAATATATTTTATCACTTATATTCTAATTTTTATTAGTTAGTATACATATCATGGGTACTGAGGCACTGCGCGTCTCCTTACCCCTGATATGTGAATTTGACACTTTACGAAACCGTTAACATATATTTTACAACACAACGACAACACTAACTTAACCTTAAATATTTACAAAGCCACCAACCACTTCACCTCACTAATGTTTTCACAAACGACTTCACTACTGTAAAAATAAACGTTCTCACTTACAAAAGTATTGCAGCGCTTCCCATTGCTGTGCTTCACATAACAGCTCATAATCTTCTGACTCACTTTCTTCTTCATATAGGTCAAAATCACTGTCATAGTTTATACCTGTAAGTTTTGACAAAGCTAATGAAACACGTTTACCGTTTGTATCGTATGCTTGTATAAACTTTCCATTATGCTTGTAGTCATAAACGCTCAAACTAACTTTACCCTTTCTCCCTCGTATCTGATAGAATGTATTTTCACGAGGAACGAAGAACAAATTCTTGAACTCATGACCGTTGTAGTTTGTTATCTCAATAGTTTTCGTCATTTATATAAAAATAAACTTAAAAATAAAATAAAAAATAAACTTAAAAATTAATGATATCACCACCCTCACACGTATGAAAACATAGCGCAAAAATAAATTTAGGTGAAGCGGTGAGATCTCACCTCTTTTTTCACCTGTTTTTTCACCCTAGCCGCTTTGCGGCTCTGACCCTTTGGGTCTGTTGAATTCATTACTTTATAACTCTCTTCCTTTCTCCAACTCTTCTAACTTCTTCCTAAGTTCAGCAATGTTGTCCTCATGAAGTTTAATCTTTCTCAAAATTCCTTCTCTATCTAATGGTTGCTTTATCTTTCTAAACTGAACTCTACCATCCTTCATAGTATGAATGTAAAAACCTTCCGGAATAGTTCCTGATTTAATGTATTCTACCAAAAACTTTTGTTTCATTGCTTCAGTGACTTTAGTCGTCATTTCAATCAAATAAAAATTTTAATATTAAATAAAAATAACGTTATTTTTTCAGTAAGGAAACGCAGGAGTTTTACGATTTATTTGAGGAGTAGGTTCTGGTTTAAATGTTGGAGTCGGTTTAGGAGTTGACTTTTGAACAGGAGTTTGTACTTCCATAGGTTCAGGAGTCATTGAAGGTTTTGCTTGTGAAGGTGTCGGAGTTTGTTTAACTTCAGCTACTTCAGTATTATTTACAACATTTGCTTTATTTCTTTTCAACATCATTACTGCTCCTGCTGTAGCTAGCAAACCTAGTGGGAGACCATATCTTATATAAGGACTTGACCAAATGCTATTTTTGGCAGGAGCTGGTGGAACACCTAACCTTGGTGAAACTGCTCTTTGCCATTGTGCAGCTCGTAAGAAATATTCAATAGGTGCTCCATAATCGTTTGGTAAAGTTTGTTTCATAGATGGTGAAGGTTCACGAGAGCTTGATGAAGAACTCATTTATAAGCTTTAAAAATAAACGTTCATCCTTTATTCCTCACTGTCGTCCGTAGCTAAGTTATAGTCATCTAATCTTATTATGGGGATTCCATTAGCACGCACCTGAATGGCAAAGCAACAATCCCTCATAAATCCAATAAGTGGCTTTGGTACATTTTCAGTTGCTAGTTCAATAGGTCCTTTAACAGACAATTTGTATGTTATTGGAGCAGTAGATGTTTGACCTTGCTGGAAGCAAAAGTCCACTTCTGTTGGAAAACCACATAAGAAATGTGTGTTGTCATAACTATCCCATTTATGTTCCACACTACCATCATCCACCAATGACCTCATAACATCTTCATTAAATCCTATCATATCATTGTTTGTATTGCAAGCGTTCGCAACCATTTCATAAAATACAGGTCCATATGATTTTTCGGGTTCTGCAGGCATATTTCCATAAGCTCCCATGGAAAGCTGAAGATATTTAAACTTAGGGTTCTCAAAATTAACATAATAGTTGTCTTTCTTTCTAAATAGTGCCCAAATACTTTTAACATTAATAGGCGTATAAGCTGCTGTAAATGTTGCACTTGAACTATCTGTATTCTTTGAGAATGAACCGTCCATAGGAATCCAATCCATAACTTTAACAGGAAAACATAAAGCCTCGTTTGTATAATGTTCTACAAGTTCTGTATAAATGTTAGGGTCTAAAGAGAATGACTTTGGATGAATGAAACATTCATTAAAATCCATCTTTGTTCGAAATAGTTGCTGGGTTACAGTTGTAATAGTAACTGTTCCACTAGCTTCTACTGCCTTCGTTATCATAGTGAATGGTTCATTCCATGGAACAAATTTATTTGTCGGTGGATTTGAATCTGAAGCAAATGCAACTTTAAGAGTTGGATTGAAAGCAATGATATCATTTACAGATATAGATGTGCATTGTAAGGCGTCGCTACTGAACTTTACTTTAAGCTGAATGTTTCCTGCAAAAGCTGGAATAAATCGAATAGCTTCTAATGGAAGGAATCTTCTAACAGGAATTCTTAAACGAAGCTTAAAATCAAATGATTTTCCTGCTGTAATTGGACCACTAACAATTTGTCCTGTTCTGCATGTTCCCGAATGACTCCATACATCTTCATGTCGAGTCTTTGAGAAAACATCTACTTTCTTTATTTGTTCGGTAGTTTGTGAGTTTGAAGTTATATATGCTTCTTCTCTTGCGTTGTCTTGAGAATATACGATACGACCATTTGCAAGGATTTGATATCCAGCAACTGCATAGAAAGCGTCATCGAAACCAATCCAAAATCCTGGTGGGTTTGTTTTATTGGAACCTGAACCAATTTCTTTATCTACAATAAATTGACCTTCCATTTTATACGTAATGAATGTATTGTAAAGGTCCAACATATTTTCACCAGGAGGTGAGAGATTGAATGTTACCCATGTGTTATCTTTAGCAGTTCCAGGTTGTGATGGAATCTTTGCGTCAGAATATTTTCTATTAGTGTCACCAATTTGAACTGCATTGTCTATGATATCGAAATATGAGCGAATCTGATGAATATGCTCTGCTGGAGTAAATTCGTTTAACTGTTCGTTCTGCATGTATTTACTTCGGATAAAAATATCTATTTACTTCATTATTCTCACTCTTCTTCTTGGCATTCGTGGTGGAAGTTGTTTCTTGACATTTTCAATGAACTGTACATTCTCTTTTGTCTCAACTTCTTTCACTGGCGGGTCAGGGTTCTTTGACTCGGTTTGTTTTTCAATGAAATTCACAAACTTTGCAATAAGCTCTTGGTTCGTTATTGAAAGTACATCTGGCTTCTTTTCTTCTTGTTCTATTGACTTTTCAGTTTGAATAGAAGGCTTAACATGGGCTTCACCCTTGCCATACACCTTAATGTTGTCGCTTTCTGCATTCGCTAATGGAACCTTTCTTTTTCTTACGTATATTTTACCATCTTTACTCTGACTTACGTAATAGAAAGGATGTTGTATTCCTCTGGCGTCATTTAATATAATAGACTCTCGCTCTGATTTTGACAAGCTCATTTTACATCGGTTAAAGTTTTAATTTTGTTTTTTATCTGCAGTCAAATGACTCAGACAAGCCCTACGGACAAGACCCAAGGGGTCATAGATGTTGAAGCATTGAAGAAAGAAATTCGTGAGCAAATTTTATCCGAACTGAAGGAACAAAAACAAGAACAAAAGCCAGAGAGACCAAAGAGAAAACTTAGTGAAAAACAACTTGCTGCATTAGCTGCTGGAAGACAAAAGAACCCACGTTTGCTGGCGAAGAAAGCTAGAGAAGAAGCTGAAGCAAAAGCTAAAGAAGCTGAAGCAAAGAAAGAGTAAATGGTTTATTTTTATCCGAATTAAATGTATAGACAAATACCTTTATCTGTTGCGTTCAGTAGTGAAAACCCTGACGTCAAAATAAAGGGGAACAGAGTAACGTTTAAGTTTCCAACAGACTGGATTGTGAACATAAATGAAGAGAAGTACATTGGCATAACATCTATGTATATAACACGTGCTTTCAGAAAGGTTGACTTTATACTTCAAGTCGAGATAGAAAATGACGAACAGTCTTTAAGCGCCCAAAACATTCACATATACAAATACTTTAAAGACGATACAACATTGTTGCAATGTATGATTTCATTTAATGAGATGTTCGAGAAAAAGTTCAACATTGAAGTACAAACTTTACAGCCTTTACGTGAGTTTCTTGCACAACTGAAGGAAGAAGGTAGTCGGCCACAACTTATAGACTTTCATTATGAATTTAATGAAAATGAAGATGGAACTCATGACTGTCAATTCATTGTATTCTCACCATTCAATGAAGTCGCTAAAGAGAAAGAAAATCCATTACGTATAAGATTTCAAATCTCTGAACCAAATGATGACTTCAAAAATGTTTTCAATTATTATGCAATGCTTCCGAGGAAAAATGAATTTTCAAAGATTGTAACACCTGGCATTTGGGATAGAAAGCAAGCTATATTATATTCAAACTTAAGTAAGGGAGTTGAAAATGAGTTCATTGGTCATACAAGAACTTCACCACTGCCAAATCCTAAGTATTACAAGCTTACTGGCTTCAATCGTGAGTTTTGGATAGACATGTTCTCCACTCATGACCATAAAGCACCTGTTTTGCTACCTCCAGACCATAAGGACTGTCTCTACATTGAAGCACAACTCTTAAACTCTACCATCGCAGTATTGTAAATGACCTCATGGCTTCGCCCTTGCCGCTAGCGGCTTATTTTTATCACGAATGACCTCATTGCTGACAAAAATAAATGACCTCAGAACTTCAACTTACGAATAAAGCTTGTTTTAGTCTGAATAGAAAAGTTAAACTTCTCTTCAAATGCAGGTGTAGCAGACTTACATAAGTCGAATGCAATCTCTTGACCGTCATAAAGTGCTTTATATAACTTCATAAACTGAACTCAGAGTCTTTGTCAAATTTTCCTTGCGGAACCATTAAACCTTTATCTTCATCATAGAAACACTGAACAGAGTCAGGAAACATTTCATTAGCGGTTAAAGCAATAACATCTTGCTTCACGCCTTTCATTCTGCAGTGAAATGCAACTTCATTTAAATCATTCGTGAGTAAGTCTATGTAAGTCTTCTTTCCACAAAATATTGACTTGTATGCTAAACTTTGTTTTCCAGGTGTGATTTCTGCAAAGTCGCTATGAAATTGACCAAGGTTTTTACCAATGAGAACTCTTCCATAACGTTTCTCAAACTCTTCAGCTAAACGAGGGATATCTTCATTGTAGAGATGCATACTGTCGGTATCGCTATAAAAGATGTCCATTCCTAAGTCCTCAGCAGTACAGAATACTTCACACATTATTCTCTTCGACATAGACAGAATGTTAACACCAAGTGGACAGAAGTTAAAGTGTCTGCAAATACTTTTCGTTAGCTTGAAAATAGTTTTATCTGAACCATCCAAACCTTCGAACTTCACTATATGGTTGTAGTTTCTGATGGCATATCTTATAGCATCTTTGTCATTTACTATGGTTATTTTTGACTCAATAGGAGATAGAATAGTTTTGCCATAAATACTGTTCAGAATGAGCTTTATATTTTCTTGCAAAGGATTTCCTTCTTTCTTATACTTTAACCTTAACTCAAACAACTTCTTTACTTCATCTCTTATTCTAATATCTCTGTTTCCATCGTAATAGTATCCTTGCAACACTTCACATTTGACACCTTGATATTTTATGAGGTCTTGTAATGTTATATGGTCAACATACATTAAACAGCAAGTGTTTGAACTTCTGGGAACATTAAGTTCTGGATTTAGTTCAGGGTCACAAACTATTAAAGGAAAGTGTCTATGTATTCCAATCTCTGTTATCTTAATGAGAACAAAGAAGCCAGACATAAACTTTTCACCAATGGGTTCCTTTTGGTCGTCATCAAATAAATGTCTCATGAGATACTCTGTGCTTAACATTTCTTTCTTCATAACCTTTGGAATACCTTCTAAAGTATAAAGTCTTGCTATAGCGGATGGATATAATGAAACAGCGTCGAAATCAGCAATGAGTTTCTTTTCGCTCTTTTGTTTAATGTTATCTGACAACATACATCTTCCACCTTGAATGCATCTCGAAATAAATTCTCTTGGTTTATTTGAGAGGTCATATAAATTTCCATTCGGGAAGTACACTCTGTTCTCAAACAATTTGTTAGCAATAGAACAAATACTAACGTAGTCATAAACGTTTAAATCAAATTCTTTCAATATGTCATTGCGGAACTTAACAAAACCTTCTCTTAAAATTCTTACATCTTGTTTGCAATAAAATGAGCTATATTTTTCTAAATCGAAGTGGTTCTCATCTATTCTGCAACCTTTGATGGAATCTATGTTCTTCATGAACGTATCTGCATCCTTGACAAACTTACATGCTTCAGAAATGACACCAGTTCTGTTGTCATTTGCTAACAAAACACTGCTGTAGTAGTTGTATGGAAATACTTCTTTCGGTCCTGTTTGTAAGTTAAACATAGCAGGAAATAGTTTAAGCTTCTTATTTATAACACTGTAAGAGTCTTTTATAATAATTGCCCTTCCTTTATATAAGCCAGTTATTTGCATTGTTCGTGAACCTTTAATGATGGGAGTTCCTTTCACTTCTGTCATGTGTCTTAAGATGAAGTTTATATCATAACTGAGGTTATGGAAATATATTAAACTCTTGTCAGGAAGTCGCTCCAAAAATTCTGTTGCACAGTTCTGACCCCAAATGCTTTCACTCACTGAACCATCTTCATTGTCGTAACATATGTTAAAAGCTTTATGAAAGCCATCGGTACTACACTCAAAGTCAGCAAAGAAAACGTGCTCAGGAATGAACTTGCACTTATTTTTATTTACTTCTTTTGACTCTGCTTTCTTCTTCAGTTGTACACAATACTTTGGAGCATATGTCAAATCTTTAAATGGTGCAAGGTTCTGTTTATATAAGTCAGTCGTATATGTGAAAAGTTCTCCATAAGAAATAGGTTCGAAATATTTGCACTCCCACAATGTTTTCATAACATCCCATAGCGGTGTTGTTCTATCATAACGAATTACATATTTATCTTCTCTCTTTGTATAAATCTTCATTTGTTTCTCAATGTTCATTCCACCACAAGCTTTGAGAATTTCTATATAGTTGCGAATGAAATATGTTGTCATTGGTAATCTTTCGTTTAGCATGTAGTGGTCTTCAACAAGAAGTAAGTCAATAGTTCTAACAGTTTCACATTCTTTTGGTATGTATCTCTTTATTTCATTATGTCTTGAGTCATTGAAATAACCAATGGTAACATTAAATGCTATACCTGTTGCGTCAGAAATTTCTTGTACTTTACTTTGAGGAAAGTCTCTAACACGAATGACTTCTCTCATGTGGTCAATAGTCTCTCCATCTACTCCAGCCTGAATGCAAGCATAAACGAAACAATTGTCTTCTGTCATAAGTGTTGCAGTTCTTTTGTTCAGTTCATTGAAGATTTGGTAGCGTTCAAGATTTATAGGTAATGTGCAAAGATACTTCCAGAACTGACCGCTTCTCTTCTTATAAAACTTCTTTTCACCATTATCTTTCCAAAAGCTTTCTATAAGTGCTGGGTTTCCTGTTTGCTTAAGAGCTTCCAAAATGGCTTTCTGGTCATTTGTCAGTGTGCTTTCATCTCTATATGGTCTCTTTTTTGGTTTGCCTTTCTTTACATCTGACATCGTTAAGCCTTCATATTCTGTTAAATCATACATCTTTATTTCGGTAAGATTCTTTATGTTTGTCAAGAAGAAGTCATAGTGCATTTCAACAATACCTGCAGCATTTGCTTCTATCTCTGATATAAAGTTCTCCTTCAAGAGCTGATGTAGTAATGTTCCAATATTATTGAGGTTTAACGTAGAACATTCATACTTTCCACCAAGTTTATAACATACCATCCATCTCTGTTGTGAGTTTATTTTAATCTTCTCTAAGAGTCTCATGAAAACCTTACCGAAATGTTTGTGTAAGTAGTCTCTGTTTGGTTCATCTAAAGCTTCGATGTTAAAGTCAATGAGTCTATTGCCTGACTTCACATTTCTCTTCCTATTCTCTTCATCTTTCTTTAACCATCTCTCACCTTCTTTTGGTTTGTCGTCAATGGAACGAATGACATCGTTAGCTTTGCGAACTTGTTCTATAGCGCTCTTAAACATCTCTCTTCTCTGTTGTTTCAGTGTGTCGTCTCTTCTTCTTGTTTCACCAACGTTCGCATTTGTTATGTCAAACATTTCTTGACGAACATCATGCGAAAGAGCTTTACGAGTATGACCAACGTTCGCATTTGTTATGTCAAACATTTCTTGACGAACATCATGCGAAAGAGCTTTACGAGTATGACCAACGTTCGCATTTGTTATGTCAAACATTTCTCTTCTTACTTCATGAGGTACTGAACGTCTATGATATAAGTCAATAGCAACGTCATTTAAAGGAAATGTTTTGTTATTAATGTAATCATGAATTCTATCATAACTTATTGCACCATTATAGTCTTTAATGAAGTCAGTGAGTGCTTTTTTGTTTGTTGCGTAATGCTTTGCAACATCTATATTAGCTTCTGTAAGAAGTTGTTTTATTTCCGAGTGTTCTAACTTAGACAACTTCCGATACATCTTTAGTAGGAAATAAAAAAAATATTTTTGAAAAAATTAGATTAGATTTTTTTTAAGTTATTTTTCAAAATAATTTAATATTTTTATTATAATGAAACACATGCAAGATTGCAAGTTCTTTTCATACAATGCTCTCGCTAATGCCATCAAGAATGAGTTCAATAATGCTTCAAACGTTAATGTTATCTTTAACAAGAAGTTTGTGAAAGAATCTAAGTTTGGTCAGTATGTCAGACCATTAGCTATCGTCATTGACCGCAAACGTTATACTTCACAAGAGTTAGCAGTAGTTTTGAAACAAAAGAGTTTCTTCGTGAATGTCAAAGATACTCATTATACTGTCATAAAGAACTCTAACATTGACTTCTTCAGTATTGCTATGAATCTTTCCGAACAGAAAGAATATAAGAAGGGTGAAACAAATGTGAAATATTATCCTTCATCTCTGAAGACAATAACGAACAAAGATGTTATACAGAAATTCTTACCAAAGGTTGAAGAAGCTTCAATTGACATTGACGAAGGAAGTGAAATGGTTGAAGAAATTGACCCTGAAGCTATTTAAGCAAAAATATATTTTTGGTTAGTCTTCATATGGATATTTTACAACAATTCCCCAATGTATAAACTTTTCATACGCTTTTTCATAAGCTTTATATACCTTCAGAAATTTTGCATAATCTTTAGAAGCATTTAGATATTGTTTAAATGCTTTGTATGTCTTCATAAATTTTGCATAATCTTTTACATGCTGTTCGTTCTCCTCTTCTGTCATGAGTTCCGAATATTCTAAATTCATGTTCTTTCATATGAGATAAAATTTTATAAAAAAAAATAAAATTAGCTTAGATTTTCATTCTTCCTCTTTGAAGTTATCGAAATACTCTGTTATTTTTTCCTTTCAGTAGGTAAGTCTTCTTTGAATGTAAGTATTGTACAACCTTTGATATTATAGTGTGTTTGAGGAAGTATTTTTGACATTTTTTATTTCATTTGGGTCATTGAAATCGGTAAGTTTTCACGATAGAACCAGTTTCTGTCAGATTTGTAAATCTTAGCAAGGTCGTAAAAGCTTTTGTTGTTTCTTCTACTAAATGCAACATAACCATATCTCTGTCTTCTTCATTTTCCATCTCTTCAGTATAAATCATATACTTATAGTTCTTTTCCTTTCCTTTTGGTACTGAACGCGGTATTCTTTTCTGTATGCTTTTGTCTTTGGATTCAATGCTTGTTCTCTAGCTCTTTTCACGTTCTTGTCTATGAATTTCGTCAAGAAGTTGTAAACATGCCATGCATAACGAGGAGAAGCCCACATTGCAACAGCATTTACAAGAAGTCTATGTACATACCAACCTCTTAAATTTATTGGCAAATTTTTACGATTTTCATGTGTTTTATGCAAGGCCGATAAAAGTCGGTCTAGAGAAATTTCACTGTTTTCATGAGTTTTAGGCGACCCCGAAGGAAGTCGGTCTCGCTGTTCTTCACTGTTTTCAGAAAAAAGTCGTCTCGCTGTGCTTCACTCAAAAGTTCTTGTGTGCTTTGGTTTTTGAACCAGTCGTCTGCGTGTTTAGTGTCTGGAGCAAAACATGCTGTCAAAATACTTTGCATTTGGTACATATCGTCTTTGACCGAACGAATGAGACGGAGTTGTTTGTTAAACTGTATGTACTCATATTCTTCATTTATGGCTTCATGAACGATAGCAGTTGTTGTGTTCTCTGATGTTGTCATTACTGTCTTTACATACAAAATAAAAAAATAAATAAAAATAAAATTAGCGTTATTTTTTCTGAGATAAACACTATTTCTTCACAACATTAAATTTTATCCTGTATGAAATGACTTTAAAAAGATTATTGACTGACTTCGAATACTATCTCATTGACGCACTGACAGACCCTCAAAACTGTGTTGAAAGTTCTTTAAGCTTTAAGATTGAAGGTACGACGCATTTTGTCTTCACTTACGTATTGAAAGAATATGACCGTTATCATAACGAAGTGAATCAAACACTAATAAAATTTGTAGATAAAAAATTGGTTAACAATGAATATTTTAAACGTGAAGACCCAAACACTGCTGGAGATGATGAAGAATACAGACAAGCTATTGAAAAAAATAACGCAAGATTAGATGCAATAGAAAAGAATTTTAATGAATGTCTTACAAACACGTATGAATATCTTATGCGGTGGGAAGCTAGATGGAAATAAATTTACGTCAAATATGCAATTTATAAAATCTTATGTCGACAGGCTACGTAGCACAGTGGTCTAAGGTGGTGTTATGGAGGGGTCAGAGTCTGTGGTTCGAACCGCGACAGCGCCGTATTTTCTTATTTTCTTTGTTTGTCTTGTTTGTCGTGAATAAAAAGTGTCATAAAAGTGCTCTATCTTCCACGGGAATAAATAAAAAATTTACTTTATTTCTTCTTTATTTCTTCTTTATTTCTTTATTCCCGTGGAAGAAGGGTTTTGCTGTTTTTTCTCAGCCGAAATCAATGATTTTTTCATTTTTGGAATCCTTAGCGAATGAGGAATCTTTTCTCTCGTGGAAGCTTTGAACAAAAATATAATTTAGGTGAAGAGGTGAGATCTCACCTGTTTTTTCACCCCAGTTTTTTCACCCTTGAACTTTTTATAACATTCGGTCATAACTTCATCAATTTCATTTAAATCACGATTTAAAAACTCATTGACTTCATCTTCAACCGTGTCATCTTGTAATAAGAATATTTTCTTTAGTTTCATGTCAACATCCCGAACAGCACAAAGGATAAAATCATATTCATTTCTTCCGTTAAACATACTTTTTCTTTCTCGTTCATCGTTAAATAAATTATTGAAAATATAAACAGCGGTGTAAAAGTTATGTACTGTGTTAAATGTTGAAGCTTCACCTATTTTAGATTTTAGGATTCTTTTAGTAAGTAAATTGTTATCGTTCTTTCTCTTTTCCTTATCGTTCATGTCGAATCTGTCGAACCACATATCCTGTATTTCATCGAATTTACGAACTATAGAATCCGTCATTTCCCTGGTTAATGAGGGGTAATCATTATTAATTTTTTCATATAATTTGTCCATATGATTTTCATCGACGTTTCCGGAAAGCATTTAATTAAAGCAAAAATAATGTTTAGGTGAAGAGGTGAGATCTCACCTGTTTTTTCACCTTTTTTCACCCCAGTTTTTTCACAAGCGTTTTACATGAATTGTACGATGTATATTTGAAATCCTAAACAATTTCGTAGCTTCTATTTCTTCTGTCAGTATGTCAAAAGTTTTAACAATACCGAAGGTTTCTTTATACTTCTTCTTGACGTCAGATAGAAGGAAATCTTCTGCTGTTGGATAGTTTTTGTTCAGAAATTCTAACATGTTCATTTTATCTTCTACTGGCTTTTCTGCTTCTTTCTTTAAGTCTGCATAGTCGTTTCTCATTCTTTCTATCTCTTTGACTGAGTAGTTATATTTCCTAATTGCTGCCTTACATTTTGAACATTGCGGGTTCATTTTTGCGTTATACATTGAAATAAAACCAGCTAAAACAACTAAGGCGTCAATGCTTTTCATCTCAAACATAGCGGGTCTTATTTGTTCGTTCCATACTTTGCCTCTTCTATCTTTATCTCTTATTTCCCAAACACATTTTGCAACTAATGAAACAAAGTTATCGTAAGTCTTAAACTCCTCAGATTTATATATGTCAGAAATGTTTTTATATACCATGTCGCAATCTTTGTCCATAACCTTATGGTTGCAATGAAAACCAAGGAATTCATAATTTACTTTACGTATGAACTTCTTTATTTCTACTGAGTCAGTTGGTTTCACTTCAATTTCGTCGAATTCAGGAATAGTGAGTTTTTGTTGTTGGATTTCAGGCAATTTGGGTAAATGGTCAATAATGTCCTGCATTTCATAAAGATATTCTTCATTTTCTTCATCTTTCGCACTACAGTCTAAATTACTTGTTAAAAGTTCTTGCTTTATCTTCTGGATTTTTGTTTCAAAAGTATATGAAGAAGGAATGAAGTTTTTCATCTCTACTAACATTGACGTAGGATTCATGACTAACGAGTTTGGTGCTGTTGTTGTGGACAGAGTCCCGCCGTTCGCGGCTTGAATTGTTGTTGTGCCGATTGTTGAAATCATATCTTTTATACAAAATAAAAAAATAAAAAAAAATAAAACTAACTTTATTTTTTATTTCGGGAAAATTCATGAAAATTCAAGAGGTGAAAAAGAGGTGAAAAAACAGGTGAGATCTCACCTCTTCACCTAAACATTATTTTTGGTCTTTTGTGAAAATTCATGAAAATTCAAGAGGTGAAAAAGAGGTGAAAAAACAGGTGAGATCTCACCTCTTCACCTAAACATTATTTTTGTCTGATTTACATCTAATGAAAAAGTTTAGAAGAATTTTCTTATTCTTTCTGGCATATTTTTGTCTTTCCAGTACTCCCGCTCTAATGGTCCCAGATGTGTTGGCTTCGACTCTCTCAAGTTCTTAGATGGTATAACATCTTCAACGCCTCCTTCATATCTTACTTTATAAGTGTCATCGTTTGTGTTATAGCCAAGTATTTCAATAACCACTCCTCGCTTTGCTTCGTCAATGGTTTCAGCAAGTTTGCCATTACTACTTTCGACTAATTTATGTCGAGGATAAAACGCAATAGAGTCGTCGGCAGCTTTTATAAGATATCCATTACCTTGCGTAGAGTCTACGATATAATAATTTCGACTTAACCTTAAACGTTTCTTTGTCAACGGTTTGTCGTCAAGAACTACACGAACTTTTGTTCCAGGAATGAGGGTAAATTGTGTTGAATTTCTGATATTTTGTGTTTGGCTTCGTTTCTTTTGTATATACTTTTCTTCTTGTTGTTGTGTCATTGAATTTGGTGTATGTCCTGTTGTAGAATGTGTTGAGGAATTATATACTTCGAGAAAATGTTTCATTGTTTCTTCGGTAAAGTCTCGCTCTTGGTTTAAATCTCTGAGAGTCCTTATGAAGCGGTTTATGATGCCGAGTATGTTATGGTTATGGTCTTCAGTAGTGTAGTGAGTTATGTTATGCTTAATGAGAAATTCTGTGATTTCATTGCTGAGGTATGCACTGTCTTGGTCTGATGTTAAAGTACTTGGGTTATGTTCTGCTACAAACTTTTGTAAAACTCTTAACACTTCACGAGTTCCTTTATTTTTCATTGGATATGCATATGCTTTACGAGTGTTAACATTTATGAAGATGAGGAATGGTTTATGTCCTCCTTTTCTGCTTTGAATGAGAGTGTCAAATTGGTATGCGTCAGGAGTGTTGGAGTAAATTGGTAAAAAGTAGTCGTAAGGGTTTATTTTTGTTTGATGTACAACATTTTTGTCAAAGAACCTTTTCACTTCAGCTCTGTTAGTAAATCCCCGACTCTTTGCAGCTTCATTGAACTTCTTAAATGACCTCCATGGATGTTGTTCGAATACTTCTTTCAAGCTCATTTATGTAAAGTTAAAGAGTTTAACCAACTCGTATCCAAGCGTGCATTGTTATATAAGGAGGCATATAATCTTTTCCATTACCTGCTGGGTCTGTAATACCAGCTACAACATGTGTATGATTTCCTGCGGTTCCACAGAAAATACCTGTGCTTGAATCTACTGGGTCAGTTGAAATATCATATCTATGCATTCCCTGTCTATCCGAACCCGCTGCAAGATTTGTATAACCTCTTTTTGTTATTGAATGTGAATGGTTTCCTTCCACAGATGTTCTTCCACTGAACCTATGCATATGTGAAGGAAGGTTTTCAATACCTATTTTCTTTGAACCTCCCATCTTCATTGACTGCGTATTAGTGTAGAATGGAAAACTGTCAACTATTTCATACCATCTACCACCAAATAAAGTGTTTGGATTTATTGGATTCATAGACGTATAAACAGCTCCTATAGGATATATTAAATCATATATGCTCATAACTCTATAAACATATTCTAAAGAACTTATGTCATTAAATACCATTTGGAATGTATCTCCCGGATGAAATGTTGCATTTGTTCCACTTTTATAATGTAATGTTAGTTCAATAGAATTATCCAAGAAAAATTCAAAAGTATCTGGTTGAAGACCTCTAACAAATTCAAATGGAGTTGCTGGTTCACCATTTATAATTTCTGTTGTAAATGTCATTGTATCTGGTTTCGAAAATTTCTTTGTTAGTTCTGCATCCACATAAGTTTTATCTGCTTTCTTATCTAACATTGTTGGTAGTTCATGTGCTTCAAAGTTTCTGGCATGACTTTCAATGTTCCTGCAACTCTTATCTAAACTGTTAAGAGTATCTTTTACGCTTGTACTTGGATTTTCTAATGGTGCACTTGAACCAAGGTCAAAGTTCAATATTATGTCGTCTGCTCTAACAGTAGTGAAGGATTTATGTGTATGGTTCTTGTCAGCTTTACTGTCTAATGTAGCTTGAAGTTCATTTATATCGGAGATGTTGTGTTTATGAGATTTCAAAACTTTGTTCGTTGCTTCGAGTTCAACTTTGTCAGCTTTACTTTTAATAGCATCTTCAAACGTTATTTTTGCCTTAACTCTCAAAGTAAATCTTGGTTCAACTAATACACCGTTAACATTGAAAGTAGAGGCATAAATTTCACCGGTATAACCAAATGCTTCTGGTGCTTTAGCTACATCATACTGTACAGTACAGCTTATGTCATAACCTTTAGCACGAATGTATTTATATCTTCTTTCATTAACATTTTTTGTCTTCGCTTCATCACTTCGTGTTAAATATCCATGGTAGTCCGTTATAATCTGTTCGTCTGAAGTTATATAATGAACATGGTTCTTGTCCGCTTTACTATTTAATGTAGCTTGAAGTTCATTTATATCGGAGATATTGTGTTTATGAGATTTCAAAACTTTGTTCATTGCGTCAAGTTCATTTTTGTCCGCTTTACTATTTAATGTAGCTTGAAGTTCATTTATATCGGAGATATTGTGTTTATGTTCTTTATCTGCTTTTTCGGCTAATTTCTCTTCTATCTCATTTATTTCAAGTTCATGCCTACCACCACCTCCCGAAGAAGTATTTTTCTTCAGCTCTTGAAGAACGTCCACTTCACCATCTTTGGTGTCAATAATGAGACTTTGTGTTAAAACCTTTCCTGTCTTAATGGATGTTTGTAAAACTTCTTCTTCACCGTGTTCGGGGTCATGGTCGTCATCATATCTTGTGAAATCAGAGATGTTGTCATACATTAAACATATCTGTCTCAAAAGTTCTGCTATTTGAAACTGGAACGAAAGATATACAGAACTTTCATCATCTCCTAAAGTCAAGTCTGCTTTCTTAAGTATTTCTTGAATGTATGCAATGAGAACAGAGTACCTTGGAAAATATTCGAACAATATTTCATTAGCTGTTGGTTTTGGTGGTTCTTCTGGAGTTTCTGTTGTTTCAGTTCCTTCTGTAGGTTCTGTTGGAGTTTCTGCATCTCTTGACTTCAATGCTCTTGCTCTCAAAGACCTAAATGTTAGAGCACCGGGTTTTACAAAGGACTTTATAAATGCTTTAATAGTTCCTGGTAAGTTATTGTTAGCATTAAGTAAGTTCCTTATGCTTCCATCATGTACGTCCATAGCACTATGTAAAAAATCTATACTTTTCTTGTAGTCAGCAATAGACTGACTGTGATTTTTTAAAGATTTGTCAATACCTTTAAGCCAATCTTCATGCATGTCTGATACTGAGCCAAGAATATCATTTGCTTCCTTTAGTGTATTTTGTGCTTGTCGTAAAGTATCCAATCCCGTACGTGCATTGTTTGCTATACGTCTTACAGTATCTATTTGACTCCTTGTTTCTTGCATCCAACCAGATAAAGTTTTAATAGTATCCGAACCATTTGAAATGAAGTTCAAAGCATTTTTAACGTCATTTAAAGCTTCTTCACCAAGTACTGCCCATATCTTTCCGATTTGGTATTGAAGAACTCCATATGAAGCAGCTGTTAAACCAGTATTTATAAGGTCCCATATCCATGATTTAGCAGTTTTTCCATCCTTTCCATCCTTTCCATCCAAACCGTTTTCGCCTTGAGGTCCTTGTATTCCTTGTATTCCTTGTATTCCTTGTGGTCCTTGAGGTCCGGTGTCACCCTTCTCTCCTTTCAGTTCATCTTTATGTTCGTTATAATATTCTAATGTCATAAGGTGTACATCATTACTGCTACCAGCAACGCCAAGAATTTGTTTCTCATTCATGACTAAATTCTTTAGGCATTTAATGTTGTCGTCAAATCGAAAGCTCTTTAACAATTCAATGAGAACATTTAATACTTTCACTAATGAGGCATCTACTGTAGAATTTATATATTGCACCGTTCCATCATTTATGATAGGAACCTTGCTTGTTGTAATGAATGGGTCATAAGTGTTAAAAGTATCGAAATCAATGACTTTTTTAGTTTTTCCATCGTCAATGACTAAATCATTGCCTTCAATGGTTAAAGTTGAGTTTTCGTTTACTAGTTCATGTGCTCTTCTTGCTTCATTTGTTTCATACGCATATGCAGCAATAGTCATATTTTAATGAGAATAAAATGTTGTTCTATTTGCAAAGTACAGACCCAAACGAATATGGAACAGTAAAGCTTCAAACAAACTTAGGTCTTCAGAATGAAGCACTTGCTTTCAGAGTTGTTGACTTCAATACTATCGCAACTTTTGTCATAACAGATGAAACAGATTTCATGGAGTTTGAAATAGATGACAAAAGAAGTTTTATAACATTTCCTAACAGAGCAGAGTATAGAATAGATAAAATTGCTGGAGTCATAGGTACTCTCATAAATGAAGAAACTATTGACAACATAGATGTCGAACTCTCTTCTGAGGGAACATTGAAGTTCAGTAGCAAGAAAGAGTTCAAGATAACACGAATGAGTCATAGAGTTCAACTTCTTTTGGGTGCATACCATATGACATTTCCTTTGAAAAGTGTTGACAAAACGATTGAGATGAAATCTGTTCCATACGTATGTTATGGTAATTGTTTGTACATTGAGTCTAAAATAGCTAATGTCACAGGTATTTCAGGAGTTAATAGTAAAGGTTCAGTAGAATATAAGTCTTTCTGTTATGCAGTCAATTCAATGTTCATTCCAAACGTTCCTGTCATAGCAACTCATTTAGGTAAATGGATTCGCATTAGTCCTCATAATTTGAAAGACATGCAATTCAGACTTGTTGACTTTCAAGGAGAGCCTGTAGAACTGAAGGCACCAGTGCGAATGACTGTTGAAGTTGACTTTTTAGAAAATATTAAATGCAACAGCTTACAAGAGAACTCAGAGCTAAAAATATAAAGTATGAATGTTATGTATTAGGTCATGAACTTTGGTTGTTGCTGTTTGATGAAACAAATGAGTTAGTTATGTCAGTCAAGAGAACAGAAAAAGGCGTCAAAGGCGCCGAGCGCAAAGCGCTATATTGTGTTAGTGAAAACTGCACCAAGTCAATAAGATTAGGTTTGCATTATGAAGATGAGTTCGATACTGTTGAAGAAGTTTTGGATAGATATTACAAATTGCTTTAATTTACTAAAACATATTTCAAGCAAAGTTTATATTCTGTTGAAAGTTTTGTATATTCATTCGAATATTTATACTTAAACTCAACTCCTGTAGTTCCTGGTGTTTCAATGATGCGGATGTTACCTATTTTCATGAATGGTGGCGTTTGACCACAGCATTCGATTTCAGGGTCGAGATAGTCAATGACACATTGCTTCCCTGTTATTCGTGATATAACATTTTCAAGGTCCTCCTTTGTTAGAATTATTTGGTTCTTACTTATAAGATTTGTCAAAAGCTTCTTATCGTCTTTGAGTAAAATTGTTTGGTATAACTGAAGAAGGTAATGGTCTACGTTATCTGAAGGATTTGTTTGAACATTTATGTAAGGGTTGTCGTTGGCTTCTCTTGAAAGAATTTGGTCCAGTGGTGGATACTCTAACTTAACATCTGATGTAGCGTTAGCGTTTGAAGCTGTGTTTAAATTCACGGATTTCAGCTCTGGTTCTGGTTCTTTCAAACACTCTGAACTATAGTTCTTTATGACAATATTGTTTGTCGTTCGTGAGTCAACATTTGATGTTGGTTCAATTGGAACATTAACGGCACCAGCTAAGATGGATTTGCTTCTCATTTCATATAGAATAAAAACCTTTTATATGTATGAAATGAACAATATACTCGACAAGGGTTTGAATGTAAAGCTAACGAATGAAAATATTGTTGAATTCACTGAGACAGGAGCTGTGTATAAAGATGTAGAACTACTGAACAAAAGAGCTAAGGGAAGAAGCAGGAACATGAACAAAGGGTGGAAGCCTATAAAAATTTATGTCAATGATGGCTCAGGAGGTTCAAACATAAAGTATGCAGAAAGTTATAGAGTTTATGCTCTCAAGGGAGAGAAAGCCTTCATTTAAGAACAGCTATTCTAACACATATCCTCAAAAGCTAACGGATGGAGAAGTGGATGATATGAATGACAGCAAAAATATTAACAGAAATGGCGACAGAGATGCATGGAATTTGTTTACCATCAGTCAATTGAAGGTTAAACTTTAAAACAATGTTGGTCGTTCCCATGGAATATTTTTGACTTTAATGGTATTAGTCATGATATGAATCTCAAGGTATGAACGAGGAGAGATGAGAGACTTATATGCTTCCCAAATTTCTTCAAAAGGTAATGTTATACCTGACTGTTTCCAAATGAGTTCAATATCATAGCGTGAGAAACCTTGAAAGATAACGAAGTCAGTTATGAGACGTTTTATGTTTAAAGCTAAAAACCTCCATGTTTGCATAAGTATTGCTACAGTTAAATGGTAATGTCTGACTTTAGTAATGATATTAGCTAATGGTGAGTCTGGTTTTGACACTAAACCTTTACCAGCGAAGTCGTCGCAAACGAGCAGAGTGTTTGAAGGATATTTTTTGAAGGGGTATTTTGAAAGTTTTGATAGAATGTAGTTTGTCAGTCGTTTCATATCGTAAACTCCTGAGTACTGACGTAAGTGGTGTTTGTCAATAATTCTTTCCATCTCCTCAGAAGTCTTTTGCATTCCTGACTGTATAAATTCAACGATGGCATAATATTTCCTCTTACGTCGAATGTAACGTTGAAGAAATTCAATGAGTTCACTGTCTGGAACTTTAACGACAGAGGCTTGAACTTTTGACATAAATGTTTTCGCTGTTGAATCCATAGAGTCTGAAGTTGCTGATATAATGATT